TTTTTCACAGTGGTGCTGGAGGCCAGGGCGATGCTATCCATGGAAACTATATCTCTAGATAAGGCGTCACAGAGGTGCTTAGGCCCGAGAACCATAACTTCAGTTTAATCCAAGTTTAACATTAGAAAATTACAGGTCATCCGGGTTTGAACATGCTGAAGACATATTTGAAGCCTAGTGAGTATCATCTGCATAACAATGCAGCAATACAGGCCAAAGGATTTTATTTGGCTTGACCAGGAGAATTAGCTACCTGTGCTAGGAAGCCAAGGACCATCAGACTATCATCGTGGATAAATAATTTCAATGTGGCAGCTCAGCAGCAAGCATTGGTTTAATGATTTTATATTCATCCAATTACATTAGTCTTCCTCTTCATGAAAGTTTTGAATTAATTCCAAACCAGTGATAGGACTATAGATCATTGAAAAGACTTATGCCAAATCAAGGTTATCCTCAATGACAGTAATTTTTTATTGCAGCATTTCACAGATTTCTTGGCCATTATCCATAAGGCACTAGGTGATGTTGGATCACATGTTCATTCATTTTCTGAGCCTCAAAGTAAATTTCCGAAATCACAACTGAATCGTTTGTCTGTAATTCTTCTTTACTATGTTATCAAATGGTACCTTTAAGGAAAAAAAAATAAAGCTAATTATTTACTCATGTCAGTGATAGCTAATTTGGTTCTGTGTGAAGGTAGCATAGTGCCACATATTGTATACATTATGTTATCACTCAAGTGAGATTTTTTGACAGCTCTTTAATTTGCATATGAGATTTGAAAGGGAGCTACAAAACATCTTATCTTTTGCTTCCCACAGAAACGTAGATGCAGCAGTTATCACCATGGCAATGGAGCAGAGATCCACTATCATTGCAACAGGACCATCTATGGACATTCAGAGAATGATGCAACTCTCCACATCTGCAGAAATGATTGAGTGTCCACAACACTCCCAATCTTTCTTCTCCCTCCCTTTCCTCTAAAAAAAATAATGTCACATAAAGAATGGAAACTTTAATTAATGTGATAATCCTCTGTTTTTACCTTTCTATATGTTCTGTGAGTTTTTGGTTATTTTTATTCTTTAAGATTAGGGAATCTATTTCTTTTCTGGGTTTCTTTTCTTGGGACAACAACCTATTGTGAGCACAATATTTTTCACTTACCAGTTCAGTCAAATCAGTTCTGCTACTTCACATTAGACTGATTTGAAAAAATCAGATTTTTAAACTTGTGAAGTGATATCCTTCTTGTAACTCCTCTTTGTCACTCAAAAAGCTCACTGAGCTCACTTAGTTGACCCTATGATGAGCCATATTTGAAAGCATTAACTCTGCTTTGTGTATGTGTGTTTTGCTAAACATTTCTCTCAGTAAGCCATAGGTGTCAAGTTGTAGTTAGTATGTATTTCTTGTGTTTTCTTTTTTTCTTTTCTTTGTTGTTATAAATGATTAAGGGACAATAGTATAAGTTTAAACTTAATTACTAAGCTCATTGAGTTAAAACTGTGATATAAATGAGGACACATAGACATAAAAAGATAATCTCAGTTTCATAGAGTCTTTCAAGATTAGACATGTAAAAACATAAAGCCACCTGAGAGTTAAATTGTGTTCCTTTTCAAATGATGTATACTGCCTCATTCTTCCTTAATTTTAAAATAGAGTACCTAGTCTACCACATGTTTATCATGAATCTAGAGTACTCTGCATACATTCCGTGCGTTAGAGGTACACATCTTCAGAAATCAACTTAATGTATTAATAAATTGCTATATTCGGGCAATCACAAAGGTATATATGATCTTAATTTTGATCCTTCAGTGTTTTGTACAATCAATTTATCTCACTGTGCTTGATTTAGAGGACTCATATTATCTATAGTACTGGATGGAGTTGTCTCTTTTTCCATTGGGATCTTGATTTTGCAAAATGCTGAGATCTATAAAATCCCCATGTTTACTGTTTATTAAAGTGCTTCTATTTCCATATAAATTAGGTAAGAGCTGATTTATCAGGTGCACACCCTTGCTCAATTCTCCCAAACATCCATACCAGGCAAGTATGTTTACATTTATCCAGAAAAAAGGTATTATTATTATGTATGTTTGTAGGTATTTTCATGGCCAGATACGCAAAGTGAGAATGCTTATACTGGATGACATATAAGCATCTTACTAAAAATGTCTTGGGTGGGTAGAAATTATGTTTAAGAATTTGAGGAATGATTAGCCTTTGTTATTTTCTTTTACTTTCCTGGTCTATGTGAGTGATTGGATGTAGTCCATTGGTGAAAATTTGGATTTGTTTTTCTTTTATAACACTAGCTGGTCTGTTTTACTGCCGCATTTTGTGAATCAGTGTGGACGGTAACACTTTTTTAATGTTAAAATTACACCAGAAAACTTTCCAGATATTTTTCTTTGTAGATCATCCTGAAGTTGTAGTATACAATACCACCATCCAAAACAAATATCCATGTTGGTACTACATATATTCAATTATACATGTGATTTTTTTTGGCTTGTTGAAAAACACAGGTAGCATTGAAAACCCCCAAAAATGTCAAGTGAGACGGTAGCATTTCTCAAAAAGAGTCAGGAGTAAATTCCTTTACAATAACATTACTTAATATGAAAGAGCTTTAAGATTTTTTAATATACATTTATTAAAAAACAAAATTGTGATATATCAAATATTTTTTTGTCTGGAAATATTATTTTAAAAGCATTTGAAAAATCTAAGAGCTGTTTGGCAAGCAGGTAAGTATAAGGCCTCACCATAATCTAGGACAGGCTTATTCTGTGATAACACTAGAAGAAAAGCAATAAAAAAAAGATTCCTGAGTAATTTCACAGTTTCTCAACAGTTTGAACTCTTAGCAAGAACAGTTACAGTTTATATAAGTATGTGAACATGAAAGAAATGGCATAAATGGGATGTCTTTCATGCTACAGTCTGTGGACCTGGTATTGTTTATTGGAATGAAACTGATTACTGATTTTGACAATTTTGTCAACATTCTTTTCTGAAAACAATTTGTTCTGGGAACGCTAATAAAATGTGTGGGAAAATATAGTAGTGAACAGTCTTTTTTTAAATGAATACAGAATTTTATTTGAAACACATCAGTTTGTCATAAACTGTATATTAACTTGAGGAAATGTGATTTTACTTTGAAATTAAGGTGAACACAGGAAATGGAAAAAGATCATATACACTCACCGGCCACTTTATTAGGTACCCCATGCTAGTAACGGGTTGGACCTCCTTTTGCCTTCAGAACTGCCTCAATTCTTCGTGGCATAGATTCAACAAGGTGCTGGAAGCATTCCTCAGGGAGTTTGGTCCATATTGACATGATGGCATCACACAGTTGCCACAGATTTGTCGGCTGCACATCCATGATGCGAATCTCCCGTTCCACCACATCCCAAAGCTGCTCTATTGGATTGACATCTGGTGACTGTGGAGGCCAATTGAGTACAGTGAACTCAATGTCATGTTCAAGAAACCAGTCTGAGATGATTCCAGCTTTATGACATGGCGCATTATCCTGCTGAAAGTAGCCATCAGAAGTTGGGTACATTGTGGTCATAAAGGGATGGACATGGTCAGCAACAATACTCAGGTAGGCTGTGACGTTGCAACGATACTCAATTGGTACCAAGGGGCCCAAAGAGTGCCAAGAAAATATTCCCCACACCATGACACCACCACCACAAGCCTGAAACGTTGATACAAGGCAGGATGGATCCATGCTTTCATGTTGTAGACGCCAAATTCTGACCCTACCATCCGAATGTCGCAGCAGAAATCGAGACTCATCAGACCAGGCAACGTTTTTCCAATCTTCTATTGTCCAATTTCGATGAGCTTGTGCAAATTGTAGCCTCAGTTTCCTGTTCTTAGCTGAAAGCAGTGGCACCCGGTGTGGTCTTCTGCTGCTGTAGCCCATCTGCCTCAAAGTTCGACGTACTGTGTGTTCAGAGATGCTCTTCTGCCCACCTTGGTTGTAACGGGTGGTTATTTGAGTCACTGTTGCCCTTCTATCAGCTCGAACAGGTCTGGCCATTCTCCTCTGACCTCTGGCATCAACAAGGCATTTCCGCCCACAGAACTGCTGCTCACTGGATGTTTTTTCTTTTTCGGACCATTCTCTGTAAACCCTAGAGATGGCTGTGCGTGAAAATCCCACTAGATCAGCAGTTTCTGAAATACTCAGACCAGCCCTTTTGGCACCAACAATCATGCCACGTTCAAAATCACTCAAATCACCTTTCTTCCCCATACTGATGCTCGGTTTGAACTGCAGGAGATTGTCTTGACCATGTCTACATGCCTAAATGCACTGAGTTGCCGCCATGTGATTGGCTGCTTAGAAATTAAGTGTTAACGAGCAGTTGGACAGGTGTACCTAATAAAGTGGCCGGTGAGTGTAAGTCCTTAATATACTTTCAAAAAGTGCATATTAAATGCAAAAAAAGCCCATTCTAGATTGTTGTATTGCAATCATTTTAAAATGTACTTTCAATTTTGAAGCAATATTCACTGCTTTGCTTCTGCCGCATAAATAGAAATAGACAGAAAACAAAATGCCTCTAGAAAGTCACTGTCGATGAAGATGTATCAATGGATAGCTTAAATACCAGTGAACATTATACTAGCAAGAAATATGGCCAGCTCACCATGGACTCTAAGAAAGAAAGACACTGTGTGAGGTTTGTGAATCCTGGAAGAGATAATTTAGTTCAATACGAGGCTGGAGATTAACTCACTTACTGGGCTGTCTTACTGAACCAAAGCATGGTCCCAGGAAATGTGTCAACCCACAAATCCACAAGCAACACCCCAGCAAGGGATCACTGAGTCCACTCAGGGACTGGGTAAATAGATTTATTCTCAGTTATACTTACGTGTTCTGTAATCCATACACGGTGTACCTGTCTGCTGGTAGATATTATTAGTTGTTTCATGCCTGCCCAGCTGTCTTACAGATGAGCTGAGAAAGATAAAGAATCCCAAATGGAGAGATAATCGTGATACATTAGAGGTGTAAGCAACACTGAACAAAATTAAAATAGCAGCTTGATAAGTGATTATGTGTGCCTCAATGCTTATGGCGCATTTTACTATTGTGCAAATTCCTTCTGCTTCTTGAAATACTTCTCCCATGTCTTGCACAATTTTGAAGCCATAGTTTGACCCATACAATTACTCCAATGTTGACAAAATACATCCAATGCTGTCTGCTCTTGGTCTGGGCAGAGTATGCAGAGAACCAAACAGTGATGGAGGAGGTGAGGATACTCTTAGTGGTGGCTCTGTAGAAATAGTACTGAACCTTTGGGGAGATGTTCATCTTGCGGAGTAACATCCTCTGATGTGCCCGCTTGATGACCTTGGTCGTGTGTCTCCCACTTGAGATCGCTGGTGATGGTAAGGCCCAGGAACTTTACAGAGTTCACCACCTGACCTGCAGAGCTGTTGATGAGAAGTGGGGGGGGGGTGCGTGCAGAAGATATGACCATCTCCACCGTCTTGTTGACGTTGAGCTCCAGATTGTTGCGTGCACACCAAGCTGCCAGCTGTGACACTGTGTCCCTGTATGCCATCTCATCGTTGTTCCTGATGAGGCCCAGGACTGTGTTGTCATCCGCGAACGTGACCATTTTGATGGATGAGTGGCTGGAGAGGCAGTCATTGGTGTACACAGAGAACAGGTCGGGGGACAGGACACAACTTTGTGGAGCACCGGTGTTGGTGGTTAGGGGGGGGGGCTAAGAGGAAGCTGCCAAGCCGTACTTGTTGCTTCCTGTTGGTGATCCATGGGGCTGCTAATGTGTAGCTGTAGTAGTTTGCTGTGCAGGTGGTCTAGCAGGATGGTGTTGAAGGCCGCGCTGTAATCCACAAACGGGGCAGTGATAAAGGAGCTTTGCTGGTCCAGGTGCATCAGCATGTGATGGAGGTAGAGGTTGATGGTGTTGTCAACAGAGCTATTTGCTCTGTAGGCAAACTGTAAAGGGGGGTCAGTGGTTGGTTAGAGGTAGGAAAGGATCAGTTTCTCAAAGCTCTTCATGAACACAGATGTGTTCAGGTACAGGGCGACAGGTCTAGTCATTCAGGCACGTTATCCTGTCCTTCGCAACTGTGACAATGATGTCTTAAGACAAGGTGGCACACGACATTCAGAGATGGACCGGTTGAACATGTCTGAGAACACTGGTGACAGCTGGATGGCACAGTGATTCAGGGTTGCTCGGGCTTCCACACAACTGCAGAGTCGTTGGTGGCTGAATCAAGCTCAAGTCTGGCACAATAAGTCCCTTTTAGCAGTTCTATTGACCCTCTTAAGGTCCTGTATGTGTTTACGGAGTTTACATACATGCTCCATTTTGTAGAGAGTGAATTCTTACCAAAATCTTTATCTTCCTTTTTTTTTTTTATTTGTTTTAAACAATGTTAAATGTGTACTGTATGCATTCACTTCGTTGACTATGGGCCTTCATGACTGCTTTTTGCGTTTGTGCTTTTTGGGTGCTGGCGCTTGCCGTACCTCTATCTAGATTTTCCCGGGCTGGAGGTAAGCAGTAGCGCTCCGGGTATATAATAATATTTTATTTATATTTCATTGAATAAACGCACAGTAATTACAAATTATTACTCGAATACGAGTGTATGTAAATAAAAATTACATGATTCGCTGAAAAAGTAATGATTAAACATTATGCAAACGTGTTATAAATGAGTTGTAATATATTTCTGTGATAACCATACAGTGATGTGCGTCATGAAAGATCTTGAATTTGTATTTATTTTTTCGGTTGAATTTTAGTTGCAGTCAATAGAAGGAAGCCCTGGTCTCACTGACTTTGTTTTTCATGAATGCAGGTACGTTGTAGTAAAGTGTTTGAAGATAAATGATCGTTCTCTTTACATTATATAATATCAGTTTGCTCGCCGTATATCGTCTGCCTTTTTGTTTGCTCTGTACATTGTAACAAAAAGTAGCAGCTAGATTTTCCCGGGCTGGAGTTGCAGTCAATAGAAGGAATCCCTGGTCTCACTGACTTTGTTTTTCATGAATGTAGGCAGACAATAAAATCGAGTGGCTGAACCTCTGGTGTACTTCTGATCTTTGGAGGGTCCGTTACATATGGCCAGGCTGAATGTGTCCATATCACCTTCTCTGTACACCTGCTGTTTCTGGCGTCTGAGCTCTCTGAGCTGCTTGGAGAACCAGGGCTTTTGGTTATTGTACTTTGTGATAGTTTTGGTTGGGAGGCAACCTGCTCACAGAAGCCGACGTAAGAAAATGCGATATCAGTGAATCAGCCGTTGTCATCCTCAGGGCCCCTCAGTAGATCCCAGTCAGTAGACTTCATGCAACCTTGAAAGCATGTTCCTTGCATCCGGAGTCCAACTCCTCACTGTAGTTGTTTATGGTTTGGACCTCTTCAGTTGCTGCCTGTATGTGGGGACCATCTGAATGATGCAGTGGTCAGAATGTCCAAGGGGGGCACAGGGATGGAACGGTATGAGTTCTTAATGATGGATAAGAAGTGGTCCAGGGTGTTGTTGTTCATAGCACATGTCACCAGCTGTTTGTAATTCGGCAGCTCCTCAGAAAGATTGCAGGTGTTGAAATCTCCCATAAAAAAACTACCAAATTAGGCGAGAGGTTTCCACGGTGGGAATCTGCTTAGCTGGCCGCTGAAGTACTTCACTAGTACTAGGATTTCAACTCTGCATTTTCCGGTGTTACGCTAAGTTCTTTGAATGCACCAACAAAGTTTGTTCCTTGGTCTAAACAGAAGAGTTTCGCCAGACCCATGATGGCAATGAATCTCCTTGATAACATGGTCAAATTATGTCTAACCCAACCTGTGTAAATTAAGAAGCCTGGGTGAATCGATCTTCAGGTAAGTTGGACATTTTCTGTTTCTCCATTCTTCCTCTCTTTCTGCAGGTGAAATAATTGTGTATACAAGTCTCTTTTCTACCAGACTCCAGAGCCCAGCAGAACTGACCGTTCCTTCCGTGTTTTGTCTGCCTTGGTGTGCAACTTGCTTGTGATAATACTGCCCCAAAAGTGTTGCAATGTGGCTTTTGGAATGATCATGGATGTTTATCTTCCCCAGGAAATTGCTGCTGAAGCCATGTGACCACCAATCCTGAGCATAACATCTGAGGGATGGGGTCAAGCCTCCAGCGAGAGCTATGTTTTTAGAATTATGTCCTTTTTTCTCCTGAGATTTAAAGATCTCTTAATCTACAATTCACACAACTACTGTTTCTGCCTGTGTAACCTCATCTGCTTTTTATGGATCTTCATCCTGAGTTGTAGCACAGGACCTGACTTTCTGGATGAGCCGTGACTCCATGTGTCAGCCTTTTCTAGCTTAAAAAAACATGTGAACCTGGGTGAACCAAGCAACATCGCTGAGTTCCTTTCCCACTTTCCAATTTAGATTTTCCCATGCAGAATCCCCTTTGTCACTGATGACTCTGAGGTAGACTATTGCATAGATGGTTGTGGCTGATGCGTCAGAGAAGACAGGTAAGTATGGTGTTGGTATGCAAAGTTGCTCTAGAGCTTGAGGAGAGTCTTTCCAAGACTTCCACTGATTCTCTTTTTCAGTAGAGTGTCCAGTTGTCATTATCTGTGAATAAATCTCTTACCTTGCCTTGTACTGTTATTGCAGCGACAAATCCCATTGGATCAAATATGGAATTGACAGTAGAAATAATGCCCCTACAAGCACATAGCTTTTCCTCTTTAGAGACGAAAAAGGTAAGGCTATCAGTTTGGAGGTTTAAATCAAGACTCAAACGTCTCTGCAATCCTCCTGCTAAATGAGTAAATGGAAGAAAATAAAATTGAAAAAGTTCAAAAGAAAGCATCCCTCCTATAGAAGGTCAGAGTTACGTGTTACATGTGCGCGTGCTATCTTCAGAAGGTTGGCCCTGAGTAAGACGGCGCTCAGCAGGATGTGAAGGCAGCTCAAAAACCTTTTTTCCCACATGTCGTATTTCTCTTCTGACCTGTCAAACAGCAACTGTGGTTCTGGAGCTCCAGTGGCTCGGCTAGCCATTGTCACCACGAGCTCGCCAAACTTCTCCTCAGCTCCAAACTGAACGTTACCGTGTAATACGTCGCGTTTAACTAAAACTACTCACGCTCGCTATCTTTGGCCCTGGGCCAATAACCTGTTGAGGTGTTGATCCGGCAGCAGCAGATTTAACCTACGTGACGAAGATGAGCGGAGCGGAGTTTTACTGTTTTCTTATTTCATTAATATCACGGAGCTGAACTTTAGCATGACCTCTCTCTGTTGATGCTTGACCCGAACTGCACATCTTGTGTGCTTACATCTATATTCACATTTAACACACCGTCTCTACATTTAGGAGTAGGCTTAAGACTTTGCTTTATGTTAAAGCTTATTCTTAGGGTGATTCCACCCTTAGTTATGCTGCCATAGGCCTATACTGCCGGCAGATTTCCCATGATGTACCGAGCTCCCCTCTCCTTTCTCTCTCTTTTCTCAGTGCAACCTCATTTCATTAATGCATGTTACTAACTGGACTTTTCCCCTTTCCCTAGTCATGTGCTTTCTTGTCCCTCTCCTCTCTCCTCCTATCACTTCCTGCAGGTGTTCATGTAGCTGTGTGGAGTCTGGATCTGTGGTTGGGATTCTCCTCCTTTCACTTCCTACAGGTGTTCCTAGAGCTGTGGAAACTGGATCTGGGATTGGGATTCTCCTGCTGCCCCCGTGTTCCTACTCTGCTACGATTACAGCCACTGTTCATAGGAGTATTGCTGTTATTATCATTACTATCAATATCTTTACCATTTTTCATGCAGTCTATGCGTAACTGTGTAAGTTGTCTCCCTCCGCTCCCTCTGTCTTTCTCTCCCTCGCCCTCTCTGTCTCTGATCCCCAACCGCCCGAGGCAGATGGCCATTCACCCTGAGCCATGGTTCTGCTTGAGGTTTCTGCCTCTTAAAAGGATTTTTTTCCTTGCTTGTGTCGCCTAGTGCTTGCTCTTGATGGGAATTGTTGGGCTTCTGTAGACTCAGAGTAGAGTCTTACCAGCTCTGTTTGAAAAGCGCTGTGAGATGACTGTTTTTGTGATATGGCACTATATAAATAAAATTGAATTGTACTGACGGACAAATAAACGTTTAATTAAATTCAATGTAGTGTCAATGTATGCTTTTAAGAAGCCATGGATGCTGAACAAAAATTTAATAGATATCAAATATGTACAAGTCCACTGGCAAGTCTCCAAATGCATTTTAGGTACAGAGAAAAGCCTCGAAATATTTGTCAATTTCCACATCACATGCAGAAGGATGAATGTAAAAGAAAGTGAAGCTGTATCCTTCTGGCACATCACCTCTGATATACCAGAAAATAGTTCTATCCTTTCATCTATGTGTAGAGGTAGATGTAGAGGTTTGCAGATATAATGCACACAGGTCTTCATCAAAGTATGCAAGTACCAAGTGGTAATGGAGGCAGACAAAGTATACAGAAAATATATGAATTAAAATAAGAATTTTTAAAACTTACAAAAATGTTGCTCAATTTACTTTAAAAGTGGTGCAAATCAAGATTAAATGCAAGCATTGCTGCACTCTGAGATGAAACCAAGGAAATTATAACTGCATTCATTTTTTTCCCACTTCACTTTTTTATTTTTTTATTTTTATTCTGGAGCACATATTTTTTAACACAATCATGAGTTACCAAGATACCCTAAACATTAAGGATTTATTATGGTAAATCTCATTGTTAGAGTCCTTGCTGTGGTGAGGTCTTTGTAATAAATACAAAGTATTCAAATATTTCCAAACTCTATATTTTCGTTCACAATAAATTTAACAGGGTATAGCAATGATTTTAATGAACAGACACATCTATCCAAGGCTGCTGTCCCCAATTTAAAAGTAATTAGTTTGATGTTGTCTGTATGCATTCAGAGACCATGTTTTTCCTCATTTCCATTCATTCCTTTTCCTTTTCTGTCTCCTTTGTCTGCGAAAGGTCTTCCTCGTTCTGTAAAGTAAGAGTGTCCAAGTTGTGGATTTTATCTGAGGACAGGGCAGCCTGAAGACTCTTGTAAAACCTGTAATGAAAGATAAAACCTTAAAAAAAAAAAATCATTTAAAAACATTGCATGTAAAAAGCACTATTTTCCACTCATAAGAAAAACAGTGAATAAACCTTTGTATTCGCTGAATGTTCTGTTCCATCTTCGCATTTACTTTTTGTATAAGAAAATGGATATAGTCATGTTCAACAAGAAGCTTTCCATTGTGAGTCAGAGGGACCTCCAAACCATGAGTGCTACGGATGGCCTAGAAGGGGGAAAAAATGCAATCACAGACTGATGTTGATTATATTTTGTCCATGAATACTTTTGGTAGTCTGTCCGCTTCCTTTCATAGGTTTTCCCCTGGTTGTGCTGCTTCCAGATATGTATTTTCATATTAAAGCATTTAACCAATCACATTTCAGCCATCATTTGTTGCTAGGCACGGTCAAAGTCAAAGATGTCTGCCTGGAGGCCTTCACAATCCTTTCTGCAGGCCCCCCCAACAGAAAATACATGTCGGGTACACTGTTGCTTTAACCAATCAGATTTTAAGTTGGTGACACCAGGTTCTTCTAGCAGGCCTTAGGCAATGTCACCGTATTCACACCCGCTGATTGGATAGTCAGATAGCGTACCAGCTAAAGCTAGCAAACTTACCCAAATATAGTTGTGTTGTTGCAATAGCTATTTTATCCCCCCACAATGGCTGAAGGAGGAGAAGAAATTGATTTGGTGGCAGATTTACTGTCAGGGCCATTTTCAAGACGGACTTTTCAAGAATAGTAAGTGAGTGAAATGTTTCTTTTTTCCTAAATAATATTGCAAGTTTATGAGGATATTGTTGATCTTTTTTTTTGGAGGGGGGTTTGTCGCAGCTGCAGTAGTAGACTGTGCAACCCTGATCTTTATACTGTATTTTAGGCTTGTCCGGATCCGATATCTGGATTGTATCGGCCGGCATGAGCAAATTCCGATCCAGACTCCAGATCATTTTTTTTTTTTAAAGTCCGATCCCACACGAGAATTAGCATCTCCTAACCCACAGGTCTGTGTCCTAAACATTAAGTTGTTATCAGAGTAAATCCCTGTTCAACATGAGTCTGACAACTAAGTAAGTAGGTAAATAACTTTCAATTTCAATACAAAAAGCTGGATCGGGACATCCCTACTGTATTTCTACATAATAAGATGATTGCTATAACCATAAAATAGTTATTGAGGGGTGAATTGATTCGGACAGGGCACTCCTGAAGGCCTAAGTGTGAAATGCACAGTCCGCCGGATGTCCCGATCCATCTTTTTGTACTTCCGATCCGATACCGATACCTGCCTACCTACCTGTTTTAATGTTTCAAGTTATTTAGCCTACTTACTTAGTTGTCAGGCTCCTATTGAAAAGGGATTTGCTCTGATAACAACTTAATGGTTAGGACACAGACTTGTGGTTTAGGAGACGCTATTGCTCGTGCGGGATTGGACTTTAAAAAAAATAGATCGGGAGTCTGGATCTGCATTTTCTCATGCCGACCGATACATATTTGTTTGGCAAATATTGGTTTGGGACAAGCCAAAGAAATACAGTATAAAGATCAGGGGTGCACAAGTCTTCTGCAACCCCCGCCTAAAAAAACAAAACAAAACATCAATAATATCCTCATAAACCTGCAATATAATTTAGGAAAAAAGCCTTGAAAAGTCTTGAAAATGGCCTTGACAGTAAATCTGCCACAAAATCAATTTCTTCTCCTCCTTCAGCCATTGTGATAAAATAGCTATTACACCAAAACAACTATATTTCGGTTAGTTTGCTAACTTTGGCTGGTGCGCTGACTATCCAATCAGTGGGTGTGAATACTGGTGTCACCAACTTAAAATATAATTATAATATATAAATATATATATATATATATATATATAAATATAATATAATTAACATCAGTCTGTGATTCAGATATATACACACGTATATAACACGTACTGTCATGATCTTCCCTTTCTTGCTCACAGTTATCCCAGAATTCCTGAAGGCTGAGTTGACAGCCACAGAGTGCTGCAGAAAAAATCCATTAAACAAAGAATAAATAAATAAAACCATTAGCTTACTACCTATGCTTTTTAGTCATTTACATAATTACATTAATTGAGACATTAGCATTGTTCTAACATGGAACACAATGTCTCATTTCACGTATTTGATTATATAAATGTAAATCTAAAGAAAAATGTTAGTAAAGTCAGGTAAAAATTGTTACCCGTGTCAATATAGAAAAGAGAGGGTAATAGTCTTTTCTCAAGAGTAGAAGCAGAGCAAAAAAGAAAAATAAGTATATAAAATTAAAGCCATATCAAACAGCTTGGATTCTGAGAGCCTCAGGTAGTGGTGTCTTGGTAGTGCCCAGAGTCAGAACCAGAAGTGAGACCTGAAAAAGTTAGACAGGCCTCGACTGACAATTTTTAAATGTAGGCTGAAAACAGTTCTATTTAGCTGTGCGTATAACACCTGAAAGCATCTGCACTCTTCAATATTCAAAACATTTTAATCTAATCCAACGATTTTTTCTTTGAATCTCATCTCCTTCTTTGTTTAACATATTCTTATTTTCTGCTTTGAAACTTTTAATGTATTTTTCTTTTCTTTTTTTTTATATTTTATGTAAAGCACTTTGAATTGTCTTCTACACTAAACGTGCTTAACAAATTAATTAGGCTTGTCTTACAATCCAGGCATTCCTATCAAGTTTTAGTCTATTAGCAGCCATTTTAGAAAAAATACAGATACATACTATTAACTTGCCCTTTTGTTATGAAATTTTGGAAGAAGGGTTATGTCTCAGGGTAGAGATAGCAATTTAACTAGACATTACAAATGCGTCTTACCATCAGCTGTGCATCTTCCAGCCTCCGGCACTGAACGTGGAGCACGAATGGTTCAAACTTCAACACAGCATCATTGGTTGACCTGCTCAGACCAGACATCTAAGACAGACTAACAATGAAATAGCACATTCATCATCTTTAATATATCAGAGAAAAAAAATAGAGTCCACTGACACTCACCAGGTCATCAAAAGTGCATTTGCTATGTGCGACAAAGAGCCAGACACAACCCTTTTTCTGGACATCGCTGTTGTTTGGAAACTAAAAAGGAAATTAGGGAATTTATACGGTGCAGCTAGTTTACTGTTTTACGTGTAGTAATAAAGTTAGACAAGTCAATAATAAGCACCGAATGACAACAAATGTTGTATTCAAAGATACAGCATCATGCACAGCAAACCCAATGGTTTGTGTTAAACAGCAAAGTGATCTCATGTCTTTTTTATGTTTCACAGATTCCTCTAAAAAGGACACTATTCATCAAGCTTTTCAAATAGCTGAAAGCTTATAGCCAACAACTCCAATAAGAAATTGACACCAATGTAAATCAAAATATCTTCTTTTTAGGGTGATATTCTGGTGAAAAAACAAACAAACTGAAATCTAACAAATACAGTATGTCCATTAAACTCCAGACAAGAAATGAGTACACAACCAACCACCAATTCACTCAGATGATTAACTTAATCTGAACAGCTACTTTTATGTTTATTTTTAGGGATATATCTGAAAAACTACAGCAATACAAACCCTGTGGAGAAGTAGGTCATCTTTGTAGCAGCTTAAATGAACCATCCACAACATGTTTGAAAAAAAAAGTGCAAACGTTTTTTGGCAGCGGTTTTTAGCCGTTTATTTATTGATGATTTATTTGATCGTGTCTCTTACCCCATCAAAGAGGATGATTCTGCCGGAGCACGAGCTAGTAGTGAATAAATCCTTACAGCTGTTGATCAAATAGACAACATGTTGGATATCTTCATCGACACTCCCTTTTTTACTTAGGTCAAGTTTGTTAAGACAATATTTCTTTCTTTGTTCGAATGTTTCTTCCATAGCTGAGTAGGCCTACGGTAAACGGGGAGAAACGTAAACTGCAAGATTACCAGAGTGTTATTAGCATGCTTACAAACCGAACAACACAACACGGAAACACAAGCGACTTCCTTCTTGATTGTTAGTGTCTATTGGCGGTTGGCAGAAAACAACATGGATTATATACTGCCACCACACGGTAAGGGGTGTATAATACGACATCAAGAACTAAAAAAGATAATTGAGACATAAATAATTTCCTCCATCCATTTTCTTGAAAGCACCTAAATTAAGACAGAGTATTAGGGCCACGTTTATATTTTAAAATGATTAATTACGAGATTAAAGTCGTTTCTAGATATGGCTAGAATTAATTACAAGGGTAAGGAAATTAAAAATAATCTGCAGAAAAAATATTTTCTCCAAGAAGAACCAGCCTTATAAAACGACACTGGGCCAGATTATTACATATTGAAAACCACAGTACAAAGAAACACAACTTAAATGTGACACATTTACCAAGATCATTGACAAACATGTTTAAAAATGTTTAACTAAATCTACCATCCAAATCTTAATGAACTAGTAGAACATTTAGGCTATATGTTCGCAATGTTAATTTCTTGTTCACTGCCTCTTTGCTTGCTGTTCATCTAGTGCTCTGTTCACTTTCGTTGTACAGACGTTGTACAGTGAGAGCGCTGTTCCCGCTCATCTGGTCAGAAATTGTATCACACTTATTTGAATAATGTATCGAGCAGAGTGGCGCAGCGGAAGCGTGCTGGGCCCATAACCCAGAGGTCGATGGATCGAAACCATCCTCTGCTAGACGTTTTTTTTATTCTGTTCCAGACTTTAAACAGCCATATCAACATAATCTAAGTGAACCAGTTATTCAATCTATAAAACTGGACAGGTAAGTAATGTACACCCCCTTGCTAGGTTTGGGAAAATGTCCACTCTGCTATTAACAGGCTGTTCAAACCTTAAGTCGTGGGAAAAAATATAGGGAAATATGGAGATGATGATTATACCGTGACACTGAGTTTCTTCATTGACATACAAAAGAGATCAAAGAGAATGTACCATGATTACAAAAAAACAAAAAAAGCAGCTTTACAGTGTAAATCCCCTGAGAGGTTATGGGATATGTCAGTCGGCAGCCACTAGATGGTGCAATGGGCTTTGTTTTGTGAGACAAATACCAAATTGTGAGCTTGCATGTTTTCACTTTCCCCAAAGCAAATCCAGTCCACAGAAATCCAATAACAAAGCTCGGGGGGGGGGGGGGGTCATTCCTCCCATCCACACCTCTCCTGGTTTTACTGACGTTTTTTACTGACGTTGCCCACGTTCATCATTGAAGTCCCCCAGCTGAACAAGGTAGTACCCCAGGAGGGGCATCCTCCAGCACCCCTTCTAATTACTCCAAAAAGGGTGGTTAATCTGCACTATTGTTAGCCGCTTAAGCACAACAGTCAGAACCCGTCCCCCCACCCGAGGGCGAAGGGAGGCTACCCTCTCATTCACAGGGGTAAACCGCAATGTACAGCCGCCAAGATAGGGGGCAGCAAGTATGCCCACTCATGATCCTGTCACCGAGGGCTACTCCAGAATAGAAGAGTGTCCAACCCCTCTCTAGAGGACTGGTTCCAGAGCCTGAGCTGTGCGTCGAGGCGAGACCAACTACATCTTGCCGGAACCTCTCCGCCTCGCACACCAACCCAGGCTGCTTCCCCACCAAAGTGGTGACATTCCACGTCCCAACAGTCAGCTTCTGCAGCCAGGGATCGGCCCGCCAAGGTTAAGGTCTGGGTCCCATACAGCACCTGACCACTTCGACCCCTCGCATGGGTAGTGAACCCATCAGAAGGGGGATCCATGTGGCCTCTTCGGGCTGGGCTCCATGGGTGACAGCCCGGCCACCAGGCACTCGCCAACGTGCCCTGGCTCCAGAGTGGGGCCCCAGTGGTCCGCATCCGAGTGGGGGAGTACCGCGTCCATCTGCATTTCTCCTCATAAGGGGTCTTTGGGCTGCGCTTCGTCTAGGGCCTGTTTGCCTTGGGTGACCCTACCAGGGCTTAACGCCCTTGACAACAGAGCTCCTAGAATAATTCGAAAACCCCTCCATCACGATAAGGTGGCAGCTCAGGGAAGGGGGAACAAAACAAAACAAATCAACTAACTGTAAAAAATAAAAAATAAATTACCAACACTTCTACGATTTAACATTGAATTCAATAATCAGAAAAACAATCTCTTTATTTACAAAAAGTGTGTGTCAGATGACAGAATGTAAAATTCACTTTCTACAGAATAGTGAGACTTGCATCACCTCTGTGTAGAGTAGCATAAGACATCCCATATCTTCTTCAAAAGTATGGGATGTCTGTTTGTTCCATTGTTTGCTGTTGAGTACACTGCAACACATTTCACTGTTTTAAAGTAAAAGGAAAAGATGACCGAGAAAAAGAGACCACAACAATATTTTGCATAGCTGAGAGGTAGAGTAGACTTGTATTGGGTCCATAACCTAGGGTGAAATGGACTGAAACATCCTCTCCTAGAATGAGTGTTTTAGGAAAATATAACCACCAATGTCTGGCCCCTTGATTGTTAATTGCACTTAATAGTGACTGAAGCACACTGTGGTGTAGGAACAGAGCTTTTGACATAATTAAACAAATCACTACATATATTTAAGGATGTAGAAAAGCAATGTCACAATGAAAAACGTACACAGTTCCTTACTGAGCTTTACGCATTCTGTCATTAACAGAGGCCCGGTGCTGGCTCAAGTTATTAAGTACACAACTGTTGGTCAGCATTGAGAATTTCGAATTCAGAGATTCTTTACTTTTTTCCCAATAATTGTCTCCTCTTTGATCCATATTTCCATCTCCGCCTTTGTCATCCTCTTCGTCGTAAGCTTCACTTTCTTCGTCACTGCGTTCGTCTTTTTCCAGCTGCAGGAAGGAACACAAAGGCAAACAGGTTTAAAGAGCAGGAAGACCCCTGAATGTTGAGTCCATGCTGTGGGTTTTGTTTGCAAAATGAGCCTGGATGATTTAAAGATTTGTGCTTCTTTGCAAAGATGAGTAAAAAATCTCACCCACCTGGCCTTTCAAAAACTTGTAAACCATGCGTAATATTAAGCCTGCCCAGAAGACATGAAGAGCTTGCAGCAACATCAGTAGAATGTTAAAAAAGTAGTAGCCAGCAAAGGGCTCAAACACCTCCATGGACAGTAGCAGGGTGGTACGAATGATTCTGTAAGACATCACATAGATGGAATAAGGTTTCTAACAGCAGGCATACAAGTCACATGGGCTGAAATATCAACTACCTGTTTTTGACAGAAAAGTGGAAAAAAGGTTTCTTACTTGCCGGGGAAAATCACCAGGCGGGTCACAAGGAACACGATAGCAAACACAACAAACAGTGTGTCACACATCTTCCTCCAGCCTGTGCCATAGTTGAACATCTTGGCCAACTGTAAAATTAACAGCAACCAACACAATGCAGATCACTGTGATACTTTAGATCCACTGTAGCAGCAACACAAAATAAACACAAGAAATGTTCCTGTGTTTTGTGCTGTTTATTGACAGTGTCAGTATAATTTTCCTTTATATTTTTCACTTTCAAATGCTTTACTGAGTCCATGGTTCAAGCTCAGATTTGGAGGTTTGATCTGGTTCTCCTGCACAAGCTTTTCCTTTTTTGTTTTTGTCTTTGGTGAGTCTAAGCATGGATGGAAAATCACAAAATATCAAGAGAAATTCTTTGATGCCTTGATGCCTTGCTCTGAAGAGGCTCTGCAAATGTATTAGGTTGTTACCTCAAGCAGGATGTCAGAGGAGTCGTGAAGCAGCATGACCAAAGTACCAATGCGAATGTAGTTGGCACAATAGGAGAAACTGAGCAGGAAGATGGTCGCCAAATGATGGATCACTTGTTCCTTAAAATCCTGCCAAAGCAAGCATATTAATACCTCGGCACAGTAAAATGAACATAACTGTTATTTGTCAACAGCAACCGCTGGTCTTTTAGTTATTGCTTAACCCGTGTGGCTGCGGTTACTTATTAAAGCAGAGGTGAAGTGATCGAACATCAAACTAAATTTGAATTTATAAATGAATCATTTATAAATGGAGGAATGCAAGCGGTTTCACCTTCCTTTTGATGTCCACAGATATCCGGAGGAGCAGAGAGCCATAAAAGCCTAACTCCAGCATGTAGTACCAGAAGTGAGCTCTCTCCATTGGCTGAGGAGGACGTGGGATACAACATGCGATTGTAAAAGACTAGGACATTTCCTTTTGTCACAAGATGAATAGCAATGTCAGCAAAGGCCAAAACAGTTGGAAAGTTTTTTTTCTTAGTTTTTGTTGTTGTCACATTTTTTTTACACAATTTAAAAGTAGAAACTGTAGAAACTGAAAAAAAGCAAAAGCAAAGTAATATTTTAATTTTTACCTGAACTGGATACTGCCTCCAACATTCCCTGTGGTCCCAAAACCAGGGTCTCTGTTCACATCAAATCACCAAAAAATGATAATTGGATAAAAATTACCATTAATTTCTTTTGCTGTGCTGTATTAACTCATGCTCACATTGATTAAGCAGGCCAGTCCAGCAATGAACGCTGTGAGGTAGAAAAATAATCTCCACCTGCAAAGTAACCTTCGAGATCAGAAACTGTGACCAAACAAAAATAATTCTAATAGACGGCCTTTTTTTCAACACCAGTGCCTACATCATTACTCAAATCTTCAAGTGGTTTCCCTGCCCTGAATGTGGAGTTTTCAGTGACGTGTGACGGAGGTGCTTCAAAGGTAACTCATCTGTAGCTGGTAAAAAGCAAACTTCATAGAAAGCAGTCACTCACGCAGCTTCACCAAACTTCTTGGTTTGACTGGGCCTGTCTTGGTTCCTGCGAAGTCTGAACCAGATCTCAATCTGCCTCTGGGATTTTCCACTCAACATCATCAAACTGACAATATCACTCTGAAACAGCAAAAGCAGCAGCATGAAACAGATCCCATATGGAAGAACTAGAGCAGAAAAATCACAAGAAAAATAAGTTAAAAAAAGGGAAATGAGATGCAAAATAACAGATAAAGGCTGCTGTTTGTTAAGTGCCCATTATAAAATTAAATGTTTTTATGCTTATCAATCTTCACATAAAGATATATCCACCATGAATTAGCTTTAAGCGATGTTACCACTTATTCCAGAATCTGAGGGGTAACAGTTATGTGTTTCTACTGTATACATGATTTGTTTCACGTCCTCCAGGCTGAGCTAGCTGAACTAGAGGAAGTACAGCATGAGATTAACATTTAAGAAGCTTGTTCCCTTTTTCTGTGTATGAAAACTGATTTATTACATTACAAAGGTCACCCTGAAGGAGTGTGGGTTTTTTAAAGATGTAGAAAAAGGGAAAATAAATCTTTATAAATGTTTATCTATATCTATATCTTATATCTAAAATGACAATTTCAGCAAAGACCCTCTGAAAATCTGGACTTAAAGACTAATATGACTAGAAAATAACAAAACAAAACGCATTCATCCAGGATGCATTCAATGCATTTTCTATGCATTTTTTTTATTAATATAGGGTCTGAATGCCCCTGTAGGACACACGATCATTGAAGCCTTCCAATATATGTTACTGTGTAGGCTGCCACTCTCACTCTCTCTCTCTCTCTCTCTCTCTCTCTCTCTCTCTCCCAACCGGCCGAGGCAGATGGCCGCCCACCCTGAACCATGTTTCTGCTCGAGGTTTCTGCCTCTTAAAAGGAAAATTTTCCTTGCCTGTGTCGCCTAGTGCTTGCTCTCGGTGGGAATTGTTTGGCTTCTGTAAACATCTTCAGAGTAGGGTCTGACCTGCTCTGTTTGGAAAGCGCTGTAAGATAACTGTTGTTGTGATGTGGCGCTATATAAATAAAATTGAATTGAATTAATAGAAAGTAATGTATTTAATTTACGTCTTAGAGTCATTGATATCATTAATAAATAAATGCAAACCTGTCGAGCAAAGTTTTTTTTTTAGTTGAAGTCATTAAACTGTAAAAATATGTTCAGTGGCTTTTTAACACAATGTAAAAAAATACAACCACACTATTGTGGTTGTATTTTTTTTCAAGTTTGTCAAATAAAATGAAAAACAACAACATGTTCTTAATTACTCTGGAAATTTGAGTCTCTTGCTATTTAAGAGAATCTTTTTGGGAAAATAATATGTATATGTTTGTGAGGATATTTTATAATGTGCTTTCATGTCACAAGAAGCATATTCCAGTTACTTTTAAAGCAGTGTGTTTGATTGCACAGAGGCCTCCTCAGACTTACCTGTGTTGGCTGCCGGCTCCTCTGGGAGTAAAATGACTCTAGCTGTGGGGAGGGGACAGCAGCAGCTTGCAATCTGTTCTTCACCCCAAGACATCTGCCTACGGGTGGGGCAATAAACCTAGAAACAGGGAGAACCAAAGACAGTTTACACCAATGACACAGTGTGATTAAAAGAGCCAGCCTACAGTTACTGTTTCAGGTAAAAATAACACCTAAGTTCCAGCTGTTTAAGATATAAAAACGTATTGTTTAAATATCTATCTCAATATCTGATAAAGCAGTGCCACAAAGCTGGAAAAGATATCCAAATTTTTAATTGTGGTTCATGAGGGCAATAAAAATGATATGATATTGCGTCTCGTCCTTTAATTTCTTCTTGTGAACGTTATGAGGAACACACTGTGTTCACAGTGTGTGGAAGTTGTAATGTTTGTGAGGCTTGTTATGCCTTCCTAATCACCCATTGGCTCTTTATACTCCATGTAAAAAGAGATAGATCATATGCTTTATTGATAGTTTTCAGAAAATAAAGTTAATATCTTTGCATGCAGTCATGATAATTCTCCTTTCCCCTGTTTTTCTTTCTTTAGTCCCTTTAGCCTTTCTTTCATTATAACAAAGCCACTCTTCCAGTAAACCTGTACCTCTCAAAAACGTAGCGCACAGCTATAAAACCCAGGGCGAGGGGCAAAGCTATGAGAAGGTCCCGGGGTCTGGGTCGATCGGAGTCCGCCAGCTTATCCATGTCCCTCCAGGTGACACCAGGAGGAAGCCAGTAGTCTTGCCTCCAAACGTCTGGCAGCAGGTCCATTTTTTCTGCTGTGACAGGGACAGGTGAGGACCGAGATCACAAGCAAACATGACGCCAGCTGGAAACACACACTCCAGGGCTGTATGGATAATGCTTGTTTGCTTTTGTTGTTGTTGTTGGGAGGCCACAGAAACCTCAAAGGTCACCTTTTCTAAGCACAGGTTCAGGTAGGATGTCACGTAATGGAGCGCAGACCTGCGACAGCTTATTATAACCACACTACATCTGGCATCTGCCCCTGCTGCCAAATGTATTTTAAATTACTCAACGTCACAAAAAGTAGTGTAACATGCATCCAAATATGCCAATAATTAATAACCATATATGATATAACTAAAAAAGTGCCCATTTTTCTCATGCTTTAAAGCCAAGTTGTTGAACATAGTGCGGAGCGCCTTCGGGTGTACAGCGTACTCATTTCTACAGTAAAACAGTCAACGAGACGGCTTTAAGGCAGATCCATACCTTTTAGCAGCTCTGTGGACAGGAGGACAAGATCGATCCGGCAGGCAGAAGCATAAGAATCCACCGAAACAATGAGTGAGTGTGAGACGGAGCTGGCAGGGGATGCTGCTCTCCTCACGACGACCGCAGAGGCAGCGTTAGAGGAAGCAGGGGCATGGCTTCCAGTGTAAGGTTTCAGCTCAAAACAACGAAAATGCCATCGCAAACACACCTGTCAGGTTCAATTGAACGAAATTTAAATGAGGATAAAGCGCTGAAGAATGTAATAACAAGAAAACGAACAGAAGTTGTGGTTTTCAGTCCGGTGTAACTCTGGCCATGTGAGCCACGCCTTTATTGTGAAGACTCACGGTATTCCCACTTTTATTAAGCCTTCAGGCTTCACCTAAGTGTCATGTTTATTTATGAAGCCTCAAGGACTGTTGGTTAAGCATTTTGGTCGGATTTGTGAAGGGACCAGTCACTAAAAGCCACACGTAAAATGTCACATCATTTGCAAGTGGCAGGAAGAGAATTTGTGTTTAACTTAAACTCAAACTCTGCTGGAAGTGATGCAGCAGGGATTTGCATTAGCGGGACAATTACAAGAAACATAGGATTATTCTCTTGTTTTACAGTTTTATTAGATTTGTTTTGCATTCATAGAATGTGAGAGGTTTACTGTGGAAATTCATTGTTGACATTTGAAATTTGACCTTAAGTTACACTGTTTTTATTTCTTCATGGGATTGGAAACTGCTTTATTTTTCAAACCTGAGGGGTGTATATTACATATTTGTGTATTATTTACGCCCCATTGCAGATTAGGCTCTTGACTGAGCTCTGCACTGTTGGTACTCTCTAAGAAAGCAGGTGGAAACTCACACATTTCCAACCCAGGATACTACCAGGACTTGGCTGGTAAACACACTTCTCTGGGTGTGTGCGTAACCTGCCAGTCAAATATACTTTATCCTAAATAAAAATGTGTGCTTCCTCTGAAGGCTGAGTACAGCGCAAACACAAACCGAGATGTTTCATTCCTCTAATGGACCACTTGCACCTACACAGAGAGAGACACATATTCTGTGGTCTGTCCTCACAGCCCTTCAGATACTTATCCTCTGCTTATCTTTCATTATTTGCAGATAACATCATCACCACCGCCATGTAGATCAGTGGGGCGGCCTACATTGAGTCTCATGAAAAAATTAGATGACTCCTAAAGGACTATGTCTGTGCTAGTGAATTGTAACACAGGTGAAAGTTTTGAGACAAGACAACTAAGATTTGCATGCAGCAGGGTGTGGACTTTGCTTGGGCCCGTGTTTGTTTGTGTTGGAGCTATTTATTCTTTTTCTTTATGCATTTGAACTTTTGTTAGTTAATTCTTAAATGTATATTTTTTGTATTAATTTACAGTATTTATTTTGCAGGTAAATAATTGTTGATTCTATTTAATTTCTTGTCTTATTATTTTTCTTATTCATTATTTGAGTTAAGCAGGAAATGGGTCATGTGGGTCAGTCCACTTGCCTATAAATATAGGGGCCTGGTAAAGGACCAGCAGGCATATGGGTTGGGGCCTATGGTTTTACCAGGACAGGACAGGAGAAGAGATCAGGACAAGTCCACAGGACAAGAGATTAGAACAAGAGACAGAGAAAGCAAGAGCCAGAGAACAGAAAGTTTGAACTCTGTAATTGTTGCAAAAAAGGGAACCAATAAACCTTCAACAAGAATCAAGAAGTTTGGATATGAAATCTTTTCTTTCCTGCGTATTGAAACTGGACCCCATTGCCTCTTAGTGGGTTGAAGAACTTTTCGTTGGATGTTTGGTTCGACAAACAATCGCCACTATAGTTTGCATTTGGTCTAGTGTGTTTAAAAAGATATCTGTTTGCGCAGACTTTTTTAGATACCGGTTTAAAAAGGTGTTTTACAATACATACTGTATATGCACAGCAGTTTGCAATTCTAAAGTAAGGGCACATGTGCCTCTCTGCTAGAGGATCAAATGTCAAATTTATGAAAATAAGCCAGTCATATCAGTTGAGCCTTCAACCGATCTGAGGTCGTGTTTATTTTTCTGTGATGCAGCCTTGTTTGCATACATATCTGGGTATATGCAGACGTGTGCTTTTGCATGGGTTTATGTGAGACTGAGGCGAATTGAATGCTTTTTTTTGCGTTGTCATGGAAGTATATTGTCAGAACTCAGTGAAGCAAAATTTGTCCTAATGAGGTGGGTGCTCTACAGTGTGCTTCCAACCATGAAGGACTTTTTTAGTCCATTTTATAAAGGCTGACTGCACTCTTTGTTCTAACTGTGCAACCCTTATGTACAGCAGAGTACTGAGGTCTGAAGCTGGAGTTCATCTCCGTCTTTGTTATCAAGAGAATGGTTGGCACAGCAACATGCAAACATTTATGGAAAAGACTTTATAAGAAAACAAATATCTAGACTGATCCTCCCTTTCTTCTTTCAGACCTGGACCTTTATGACTTAAAACTTTGTCAGGTCTTTGCTGGATATGTTTAAAAACATCTTGTTCAGATACTTTTCATCAAATGTCTAGTGCCACCACTTTTTTAGGCCCGCCTTCTTCTTTTGTCCTTCACTTGACCAGTTTTCTCAGTTCACAGATCTCACATAGAGATGTGGTGCGTTTCCACTTGGCAGCTTGAAACAAAGTAATTTATGGACCCAATTCAAAATCTGCACTTTGCTAATGTCTATATGTGTCGATATACCACTTGTTCATCTATAGAGTAAGGGTCTTTTTCATGTTAATCGATATGAATAAAAGCATTGCAGAGGACAACATGACTGGAATTTTGGCGCCATTGGTTAACCCTTCTAAGTTTTTATTGAGCTTTGGTTTGAATGAAATTTGTTTTTTTGGACTCATGTTTTGATTTAAATTTGGTTTGGTCTTAAGCTAGTGTTTTGTCATTAGCTCCTGTTTGACTTTATTGCCTCTGGTTTTTCATCACAGTAGGTTTTTCCTCTTGTATTTCAGTCACACATGGTGCCTGTCCTGATAATCAGATCTGTTCTGCTTTAGTCACTTCCCTTTGTACTTCTTGGTTGGCGTTGATCACTGTCAGATCCTGATCTAGATCTCTTGTTCTCTAATGTCTTGAACTTGGCATTTTGGACTAGCTGAATGTGCAGTTTTGGTTTTGTGGGGTTAATGAAAGACTTAATGTTCATCCATTTGATTAGAGACTTGTCGGTAACTAGTTCTTTATCCCTTTACCGCTTTGTGACACTTAGTGAGAAAAATTTAATGAGGGTATTGTCAAGACTTCTTCTAGAAAAATTACTGAGAGTGAAACACATACACATTAGGATTAAGGTTCCATTGTCCTGTCCATCCAAAGAGAAAACTTGTTTTCAAGAAATATTCAAAAAGATCCATCCTCTGAAATACCCGACTTCACTCGAAACTGCATTTCATCCTTTTCTTTATACAATGATTTTACGCTGAAAAAGGTTTTCAATCATTAGTCAGACTTTTTTTAATTTTTACCAATTTTTTTCAACAAACTTGTCTTCATACCTGCTTCAACGTGAATTGTCATAATGAACATGCATGTTTGAGCTCTAAATGCTGTTCTCAACATATCCACACGATGTCACAGTGAACCACGTACAGATCAAGATTAGACAGAGAAGCTGTTTTGTGGTTTAAGGAGATAAAATTCTGAAAGAACAAATCTGGGATGTTTTTGGTGTTTGCACAGTAAATCTGTCAAATAATTTGATTTCCCAAATGGGTAAACGTTTTTCTTGAATACAAAAAAGCCAAACAAACAAGAACAGGATACCATTTAAAATACATAATAGCAAAATATCTGTATTTTCACAGGCAGGGGTTTACATTTTAGAGGTTGGACTGCAAATAATTATTTAGTTGCTCATCAAATAGTATTTTATCATGCCAAAATGATGAACAAATTAAAACAACAACGTTTTAGAGGTAAACCTAATGATTTAAAAGGACAGTTTTGAAGGCTTTTCTTTGTGACAACATGGCAAAACAGGATACATCTACAGCAGGAACATTGTTAGTATGAAATAAATCCCACATTTTCTCATACTCCTGCAGGCACTGCCAAACAGATTTGGAAGCTGCGTTGGATGAAGTGTAAAGGCAGATTAAAAGAAAGGGCATTGTTGGCAGTTCATAATCATAACTAAATGTTACTGGCTATCAGTCAAAGCAGTGACCTTGCACATGGAGACTGTAAAGCTTTTAAAAAAAAGTTAGTGAAATAGAATCACACCATCCCAAAACAAAGTATTAACTGGTGCACATTATAAATGGAAATTTTATAGTGAAATTAGATCTTCATTCAGGAAATGGAACACTTGAGGGGGTAATAATAAATAAATACACACATAAAAGAGGGACAACTTGCATTTCTGAAAGTTATTTCTGAATTGTTTTTTTTCCAGCTGCGGAGCTTATGGTTTATATTAAATTGTTTTACCTGAGGATCCTTTGATGATGATGTATGAGCAAAAATAATCAGTGGGATTTATCTAAAAACCTGACTTTTATCAAAACTGGTTTAACGTTTGAGAAAAACATATATTTAAGTTGGGCCTCCACAAAACCGACAGGAACTGACAGCTTTAAGATACGATTTTACAATTCAGGAGGAGAAAAATGTAACGTTTGATTTATTTCTTGAAATTATAAAATGCATTAGTTGTGTCTAAATGACTTCCATGTCTGCCCTAAAGTTCTTAAATTATTTTCCTTATTCAATCAGGACATCTCAGCAGCAGATCTGCTTTCTATTTATAAATAAGCCTTGGGATTTGTAAAAGTATTATAGAATTAAAAAATGACATGATAAAGAGGAGCCATGAGGAAATGCTGTTCAATGCTCTGATCTTGCAGTGTTTGTCACTAAAGGGATCTGCATACTACAGGAATCCAATAACACATTAGTTCCTGCGAGATTAAGATACATGGCTTCTAATGTTTCTTCTTTTTCTCCATAAGCAGCTATTGATAAATGGTTTCATACTCTGGTTTTGCAATTCAGAAAATTGACTACTTGAGTTACACCAACAAGTAAATAATTATGCTCCAGCATTGAGCTTCCTTTCATTTTCAGAAAGTGAGGCACAGTGAGCACATCTCCGCCAGAGAGCCACTGCATGTCTCAATGTTTAACTTTTTCCTCTTCTTCAGTTACTTCTTTTTTTTTTTTTTTACACAATAGCGTAATCGAACTGTCCTTTATCCAGTCCCTCTTTATGATCTGTCCACGATGAGGACGGCATGCTGCTGTAAGGGTCCAGCAAGATACGAATGCACCGGACCACCAGAAAGAGCAGCAGGAGTACAAGGAGGCCCACAAAACACAGCGCTGTTCCCTGTTCAGGCTGCCCTACCATTGGCTGTAGCACTGTTGGGCCCCTGGGGAACCCCGGGGTAGAAGAAGAGGACAGATCATTCTCCACAACCCAGAATGTTGTGCTGCTCATCTTAGAAGGGTGGAAAATAAGCTTATCAGATTGAAGTGCTGTGTTTCCTACTAGCCACGGGGCAAACCCAAGAGTAAGAAGCAAGCTGAGGCATGCTCACAGAGGTTTAATTAGACCCAACTGGTAGGTGTTCACTTAACAAGCAATATCTTTTCTCCAACACAGATTCAGGTGTTCTCAATAACAATACATCATTCTTTTTCTGTTTATTTAGAGTAACCAAACAAAAACCCACAAATGCATTTATTGTAATTGCAAAGTGAAGTATAAATCTAAATTATGTAGCTGAGGTTGTTTCGCAGATAAATCACAGGGCTTGTAGACTGCAGCCAGTCCAAGCTGCGGCACATAAGAGATCGTTTTTGCTTTCAAATGACTTGAACGCTTTAGCTGTGTCGCTCTGAACTGTCAATTTCCTGAAAAGCTTTCTTTTTTGTATTCTCTTTTTCACCCGTAGTCCCATGGAACATCTTCATTTGAGGTTTCAGTCACCAGGATACCTAGTAGAAAGAGAGGGGGGAAAAAACAAAGGTAAAAATCGACCTGAGGGAATCAACCCTGAGGCACGCCAAAGCACAACTTTCCTCTTGAAGTCAGGTATAGCATAGCAGAAGATAGATAAATCAAACTCTGATGTCAAGAAAACCCTCAGAGAGTTACTAAGAAACCCTCCCCGTGGCTGCTTTTGTGGGCTGTGGAGTGGAAATATATTTTCTGGTGCCCTCCCTAGTCAGCACAGTCTATTCCAAGACATGTCTCCCTCTTTGTCACCCTACAGATCCTCGCAAAGATACCTTACTCCTCCCTCATTCCCTGGATAATGGGACTGAAAGGCAGAGAGATGCTTTAATAGGGAACTTGAAAGCATAATGAAAAAAGTGCCTGCCTCAGTATCAATTATCAAATGGCCTGGGGTTACAACAGGGCTGGACTCTCCAGATAGGTGCTTGACAGGAAGCCTAATGAACAAGACAGATTCTGTTGTCAATATACAGTCCATTTGGTCAACATAGAAAAAAAGACCTAAAGTTTACGTAACAGGGTGGCAGAGGTATTAGAACAAAGCTTATGCACAGACAGCTTCAGTAGTACAAAATGATGAATGCGTCACAGACTGACGCTGAAAAATGAATCAAATAAAACAGGTTTTTCTGGATAGGTGAGAAAGTGTATCAGCTGCGAGAAGATGAAAAAAAGTTAAACTAAAAGTTTACATTTCTTTCCTTGTAAGCTCAGAGTTATGAAGCACCCTGACTCTAGCCCCTTTTCCTGTTTCCAGCCCCAAAAGATACAATAGTTGTTTCATTTCATATTCACAAAACGCTTCGCACATCTGACTTGTCTAGTATATTACTTTTCTTCATTGCAAAGCATTAAGAGTGATATCGAACAAGCTTTGTCTCAGTGGAGCATCTGCATAATATTTGCAAAAAGCAGGTAAAATAAGATCTACACAATTCATCTTCCACTCCTGCTATGCATGCAAATGTTAATACATGAATGCACACATATGTACAGACAGACACACACCATATCAACAAATAGAGAAAGCACAGAAGTAAACAAACTGTGGGGACAACATTTTACCATGAGATATTATTACTTTACCTTGTTTAAAACAAGTTAGGTGGATGGAAATGATAAAATATAAGGCCAACATAGCTCAAAAGCAAGGACATATGGCACGCCTCATGGCAGTATTACCTCTAATTTCTTCAAAGGATTATAGAAGGGCAGATTTAACTACAGTATAGTGAAAACAAATGATAGGTCTGTTTGTCAAGTAATACAATTACCCTGTTATATAATTTTCTGAATTAGTGTGCCTCTAAAATTATTAACTACAATTCTTTTGGTCACAGACATATCAGAAAAGAACCACTTTCTTTTTTAATTTTTTTTCATTTTAAGTGAGTGAACTGTATCTTTGATAACTCTTATTAATACCAAGCTGAACTGCTGACTTTCTTTTCTTTTTAATGAATGCCTTCTCCTGAGCAGAGTTAACACAGTACACCCCGAAGAGCAACCGATTATGTCAATATGAACGCTATTTTGCAGCAAACATGTTGATTGATGATTAGTAGGGTAATTAAAGGATTTCACCTGTTAATTCTACTATATTGAACCAACAAGCGGATCACGTAGACACATTTCACAGTGATGTCAAAAGTTCCCCAACAGCAAACACATTAATCAAATGCAAAATTGCAGGATTACCAGTTCAGGACAGAACCTACCTTCGGAGTTGGTGTAAAAGGTGTAAAACGGAGATGAGCCTGCAGCAGTTCAGCACCAGGGACACCTCAGAGCGCTCTCCGCCTACATCCGAGCTTCCTGCGGCGCCTCCTCTGCCTTCACATGGACTTTAAAGTCCTCACACTTTCCCAGATCCGCCTCCCAGCTGACCCTCCTCCTCTACATCAGCCGTGGCTCCATGCTGGCCGCTTGTGACTTTTTCATTGTATAAGATGAGATAGAAGTAGACGTATTAGCAACATTTTTATTTGCCCTTTCTGCTAATTGTCTGTCAGAATCCACTGTTCAGAGAAGCTCTTGACAAATTCATCCGAGGGGAAATAAACAAATCACAATCATTTCCACCTTATATATAATTGCAATTGCTATCTTGGTAGTAAAAACTGGGAAGTTAACAAAGTAGAAAGTCTGATGACATAAAAAAAAGCCACAGCAGCTTCTCGGTGTAGGTCCTCTGCATTATTTTCTGCTTAGATCATTAGTTAGATATTTTAAATGGGTTTTCTTGTACAATTGAATCCTTTTGAACTAAAATTAATAAATGGTTGTAATTTTTTCTATTTCAAAGGCAGGCAAGTCCTGAAAATGAGTGTTTTAAGATCACAGTGTTGGGACCTTCATTAATTGTATTCTGACAACAGATTTGATTTAATAAAAAATACACCCACCAAAATAAATATATAAATAAATATTTTATTAAAAAGGAAAGAGTACTAGGTCTGTTGTACTGGAAGTTCTTTCAGTGAGTTTAGAAATATGGTATGGTAAACCTAGAATCAAACTAGAATTAAGGTGGTGACAAACAAAAAAAGTGGTTGATAAAAGAAAGGTGGACTTATCAAACTTTTGTCCCAGGTTTTGCTGAAGTACATGATATTACATGATTAATGTGTATGACAAAACAAACATGGCTACCTGAATGTGCCTGTGGCTTTGCTCCAGAAACACGGTGTGAGAAATAATTAATCGTCACAATTAAAAGTCCATACTAGGACAGAATGGAGTCGGTACATTTCCACATCTCCCCTGCCTGAGATCTCCCACTAGGTTTAATTAATAGTGAGTGGATTGTAACACTGCCCTGAAGAGGTTCATAATCTAATCACCCCGAGCTGTCCTCCTGTGGGCCTCCCACTGCGGCCATAATTGATACGAGTCTCCCACCTACATGATTATGAAATTCAGTGTTAACATTGCTTACCTATTATGTATAATGTTACAGCAGGAGGTCGAGCTTAGGATCAGGGACATAGGTAACAGCTAAGGTATATCTAGATCTACGACCCATGACGCATGAGTGAGCTGGAATTTAGTTCAATTGTTTTTACACACGTTTCCTTCTCTACAACAGCTGAGGGACCCTTCTTTTAACTCACCTATTGCTATAGTTATTGGGAAAAGTAATACCTTTCCTGGCTGCTGTCATAAGGGAGCGGATTAGTATGTTAGTTGGTCCGTGGATGACGTCACACAAGACAGCTGCAGGATGAGGTCCATCACAGATTGGCATATATAGTCATCTTCTAAAACCCTATACAGCCTGATTTATTGGTTTATCAACCAGAATCAGCAACCACGCGCATGGAAATGTTATCAAGGTGTGTCCATTCTGCTTTGAGAGAACTAAAGACAGAGTTTCCAGACTAAGCAGAGACACAAAAAAAGTAAATACAAAGCTATAGTAGAGCTTGCTTTATTTAGCTTACTTATATATTATTGCATCCTAACAGAAGAACTTTTGAATCCTCTTTTGAGGGTTGGCATCTCATTTACACAGAAACAGAAATTAAATAATAATAATCCTAAAAGAATAGAAAATAACACAAGACTGTGATGCCTTCTCACAACTGTGGGAGTGGTGGATAGAACAAATGTAAACTTAAAAAACAGATGGAATACATTTTGACTTACAGAGAGCTCATATGTACCATACAAAAACAAGAAGAGTCCATTAATCAATTGATTAATAATAACTGAAAGTGCACTTACTGTCATGGTAGTAGATAGCATCTGTATTCTGGGGTGGTTTTTGCAACAACACAACAGAAGGATGGATGGCATATCATGAGCAAACCAACATGAGACCACTATCAAACACATCTTCACGGATGTCCGATGGTTGCTCTATAACCATCAGACACCCATTAATTCAAATATCATCTGTGATGGACCATTTCACTCAATACCAGTGCCCATAAAAGCCACTACAACACAATGCAACCATCAGTTTTTCCATTTTTCCTCATTCTCACCGTTTGCCGTTTGACAGTATAGTACAACAAACAGGTGAACAATGTGCCGCATGAGATGACAAAAGGATCCACCATTAAAGAAGCTGCCTGACTGATAACTGAAAAATTCTGGGTGTGGTCCTGTGCAGGCTGGGAAGAAACCAACATTCAGTAAGAGATACATTTACAGGTTACAAGTTTATAATAATGTATCACAAACCTGATTCATAGTCTATATGCACTACAACCTGAAAAAAAAATCTCAATTTTTACCTATAATTAACAAATAAAAGCAGCATTTATTGTAGTTTTTAATAGATTATATAAATCCTGATGGAATAGGCTTTGAATTCAGAGATCATTACTTTCTGTTATAATCTTCATGTTGTTTAAAGTCCAGGCTAACGTCAAATGAGCTCCTCACGTTTTCACGTTCAAAACACTAAGCTTTGAGGCTGTACACCTTCCCACCCATCTGCCTTTTTGGTGATTAAAAGGGTGAGAAGACATTAAAGACATTAAAGCCTGACAAGAAAAATGTTTTCTGCTTTATTCGTGAAAGTTATGCTAAATTTGGTGAACACAGATAATGACTTGCTTACACAAAGTCTTAGATTTTCTGTCTCAGACAGACAAAGAGACTCTGGATTCATAGATTGACTGTGCTAGCTTGTTTCTATACACTGACTATACACACACTGAGTTGCTTTTGCAGTTCAGTCTAAATGTTACCTGAATGCATCCAGAACAGATAATTAAGTTAATCCCACATTGTTTAAAATTTTAGCTCTTCTGGTGTACAATAAACACTGTGAGAACTGAGTCCAGGCTTCATAACAAACAGCCAACAAGCACACACACACCCCAAATCCATTGAGGCAATGCTTTTTTTCTTTTATCTTGGCCCAAGTAGACCATGGACAGCCGGTATTGTTGGATAAAGTAATGTATTAGAAGTCAGTTTGATCCATTTAACTGTATGTTTAAGTTCTGTTCTGCACCAACCAGTCCAATCACTCAGGTGACTACCTCCCTCAACTGGATTCTGATTTCAGTGAATATGCCTTGTAGTTGGTCCCCATGGGCATGTACTCTACACGCAAGTGCCAGAGAGTGGTCAGGTGCGTGCACATGAACCCTCTGGAAACTGATGGGAATGTTAAAACAGTCACAAATGAGCAGGGCATGTACATAGCATGGGCGATATGTTTTTTTTAATCTTCTGCCCTTCTCAGTTTTTGTCCCAGATTAACCTCTTCACCTTCATGGCTTTTTACCCCTTCCTCCTCTCAAAGTATTTGCTCTGTGCTGGAGGCAGAGATGTCTAGTAGTCTCCAGGCCGCGTTAGGGTTCAGCTCCTCCTGGTCACGGCATAAAGCCCACACATACATCATCCTCATCACCTTCTCCTGGTGAAAGAGAAGGGAAGCAAAGAGTCAAATCCACAGAGGCAGCACAAAGTGGGTGCAGTCTTCAAAACTCTCTGAACAGTGACTAGAGATATCTCATTTTGACTTACAATATGATCCAACAGGATAAAGCAAACACAATACCTTTATTATTTATGAGACAAATAACTTATTAGATATTAAACTCTATTAATACGATTAGCAAAGGACCTGCTGTGGAATCAGTTTTCTTATTGACCTCTGATGTGATATAGTTTGTTATTTGTTTCCTTAGGTCAACTCTGATCATGATTATTAAGTGGCTACAAAAAGACAGTAATTATGGCTGGCTGACCGGATCGCCTTCCACAATGTCTCCTTTGGGGCTGCGGATCACCATGACAACTTGTGCCTGGAAGGTGATGATCAGTACAGGGCCCTGATCCATCATCTTACCCATTGCCAACTGAAACAGGAAGAAACAGTAAGACTATGAATTAATTTTATAGGAGAGAGCAATATTGCCACTGCAGACTATTTATGAGTTCTTAAAAGTATAATCTATACAAATCGTTTATACTTTCTTAGCTGTGTCTTTCAAAATAACATATTTGAAAGTTGTCCTTAGGAAATAACTCCTTTGGGCCTCACTAGTAAGATGTAAATGTACATTTTCCCCTCACTTAATATATTCAGTTTTCTGGCTATAACACAAGTTCCATTTGGAGCTCAGTAATCAAGAATGAAACATTTTCACCATTTCAAAACAAGTCCGGTGTTGTATAATAAAGGCTCTGTTAAGCAGAACCTTCTGGCCAAGCGTAGCTAATAAATGACTTAAAAATAAAAAATAGGAGAAAAGAAAGAAACACCCTTTGTTCAGGAAAAACGCAAATACTGCTGTGTGACGGGGTGTATGAGTGATATAACTTACATCTATGTTATCAATGTCGAGGACTTTGGACTGAAAAAGAAGCCCCAGAGTCCTGGCCTGCTGGATGGGGTGAGCCAGCTGACTGTATGTCTGAGAGCACACCAGATGAAAAATTACAATTCATGCAGATTATGTCAGAGCTAAACCAGCCTCAACATCTTATCTTTTTGGGAAAAAAATATTTTTTTTCTGAGAGGGTGATTCTGCAAACGGACAGGTATGAAAAGTGCCAAATATGAAGGCTCTTGTATCTTCACTATAATCCTATCTGCGTAATCTTCCAAAGGACAGTTATACTGTACATTATGTTGCTTTTCAGGCAAAGTCAATAGTTATATCAATAGTTACATATAGAGGCATTGACTAATCTGCTGTCCATGTGTGACTTGGGCTCATCCTGGAGGGGATCAGGGTTTAAGATCTGATTAAATATAAATATTGACGTAGTGGTGGAAAACTTACAGCCTCGTAACACCAGTCCTTTAATACAGCCAGCTCTCCACGGATCATAGCCTGCATAGTGGACAGAGACACTGAGAGGTCAGCATTTCACTATCCCACATATTTCTTTTGTTACCTTAAACAAATTCCATCTGCTATAGAACCTTCAATTCTTAAAGTGAACGTAAAAACATCCTGTCTGGGCTTATTGTTTGAATGGAAGAAGATTTTGATTTTGTCAAACACATCTTGTTGACTTAGTCCATTTTAAAATCCAACTTCAGAAGAGGAGAAGGAAATATCCACGCTAAAAGAGTTAGCACATCAGCAATAATTCTGGTCTTAACCTCCTCTGTAAAGCATTTTGGCATTAGTGGAGAAGAGGTGGAACTAAAAAGCCAGGAAAAAATTATATATATATTCTTAGAGAGCAGAGAGAGGCTCCTGGTTACCTCCAGGATGTTGGGGATGATGTCTTTTTCACACTGTTTGAGAAAAGAATCTTTGTCAAAGTTGGGGTCGGCCTTCAGGATTTCTGTCAGCACCTCTGACATTTCTGTCTTGGAAAAAAGACCACCTGGAAACACAGATCAACAGCATCAGCTGCAGTGCCAAGCAGTGACACAAAAAAACAACCACTTCATGCCAATGTTTCCATTCTTAAACTTTATTACACATGCAAAGTTCCTTTGGAAATATTCATTTCTCATGGTTTAAATGGTAATCAAAAGTTCTTGAATAAAAAAGAATGATTAGAACAACCAAAAAATATTTACCTAGAAAGTCAGTGACTCTGTCAGTCACCACTCTGGATGCTCTAACGACGGCATTGTCGCTTTCATCATATTTCATCTTCATCTCAAAGAATCCTGAAGGCAGTAAAGAGGGAAGTGTCTTTTTAGTGGTAATGGTAGAAGAATAGATAATTTGGGAAGCAGATATATATTGGCAAGTAATGCTGCACTTCCGGATTTTGCTGCCATCTGCTGCCTTTAGATGAATTTACACTGGTGCATATTGAACCCTTCATTCTGTCATATGCTTCACTTACTGTTAAAAACGACATTATTGTCCTTGAAGTCCTTCCACTGTTGGTACCACTTTGAATCTTTGTGGAGGACAACGCCCATAGCCTCCCTATATATCATGAAGCAATGACATCAGATATCATGGACTAACAGGGAGAATAACTTGTTTTTCACATCCGTTTGAACAAAGGTTATGTGAGGGAAAGCCATTACTCACTCATTAGCTTCAAACATTCTGGTGTTATCATCTGCTCCTTTAGATGAGAAATCGCTCCTCATCCTCAGCTGGGCAGGGGCCCTATAAGGGCCTGCGTCACCAACATCTATCTCCTTCTTCATGGTTTCCACACTCTGTACAAAAGACACTATTTTCATCATGAATGATGTGTGCCAAATCCAAAAAGCTGATATTTCAAGGCATGGACCCAAATCCCCGCTGTAAATGTTGCTAAGGAAAAATAACAAAAGGGGCCCATATAACCTGTAGTAATTTCTTGAGAAGTTATACTATGCCAGGATAAGTAGTAGAATCCTTAACCAAACGTAGGATAGTAGAAACTGCACAATAGCTAAGTGACATGTGAGTGGCCTTTAAATTCAAAGCAACGAGACAAAGAGCATGATAAAAGAGCCTATATCTGATATGTTGGAATTTTGACGATGGAATATTTGGAAATTTGGAGATAACACAATCTTTTCTGACCTGAGAGATGGCCTTGAATGCACTGGTCCTGCCCAGTTTCTCTCCCCCTTTGGAGACAGATTCAGCAGAGTGCATCGCTGTCTTTGCTGCCTCTTCCACACTCTCCTTGATTTTTTTCCCTATGTCCGTACGAGTCACTTCCTCAATACCCTTTAGTCCAAAAGGAACACAAATGCAGAGCAGAATCCAAATTGTTTAAAAGGCTACAAGCACTGCAATTCCAGAAAGGAATTTCAGACTGCATTTTTCAATTAGCTATAAATCAAAGCAGTTTTTGTGCAAATTTCTTCTGCACTGCCCTCTTTCTAAACTCACCTCTTTGACAGTCTCTGACAGAGAGCCCAGAGTCTTACGAAATACTTCAGATGTCTTTACTGTCTCAGACTCTATAGATTTCTAATGAAAGAAAAGAAACCAGAAGCATTCAATTCCTAGTTGTTGGCAGCTCTCAACCCCAAAAAAGCAATCAAACAAGCAAAAATATTACTCAAAGTGGTTATTCATGATATAAACTATCTGGAATGAGAAACCAAAAAGCTTACATACATATTTCCTACGGGCTTGTTGAAGTGCATCAGACTCCTCAAGCCTCTTGGCCTCTTCTCTGAACTTCTTGATGTTTTCCTTCATCTCTTGGTTCTTACTAAACTCCTGGCGAATGTTATTAACCAACTCTCCCAGAAAACCTTTAGGTCCCGAGGCATACCGAATCTAGACAGACAAAACTGACAGACTTTAGTAATAAAGTCTGTTTTAGTCATATAATATAGAGATAAAGCACTAAATTTACCCTTTTGAAGCAATAAAACCCCTGTATTTCCACGATGTACATGTTAAAATGTAAGTAAAACCAACCCCCACTATCCATGTTTTCAGTATTTTTGAGGTGCCAGCTTATTTTCAATAATTCAATTATTTGAAGGTAAAATGGAGATATCAGGTTCTACCTGCAGAGCTGCAGTTGGGCTCCAGTGTAACCTGTGAGTGTCTCCTCGCCATGCTGAAGAGACCAGCGACCGAGAGCAGAGCGCCAAAGCATTTCTGCCGATCCGCTGTGATGGAACAACAGTTTGAGTCAGCTACAACAACTAAGGTCACACCCTCACAAATGTGCAACTATTGATCTCCAGTGTAAAGATAATCAGTCAAAAAAGTGTCAATCTTTTGCTGGAGGTCAACAAAACACCATTAGATCGTTTCTAGTCTTTGGTATAAATTCAATAATTTTCCAAGTTTAACACCATACTTACCGTAGTCTGGAAACCCATTCCTGAATATTTTCTGTAAGTTGTGTGAGCTGAGATCAAGGTACGTAGTCACTGTATTCTCTGTGACAGAGCGTGAGCCTTCTACACTAATAACCAGGTTATTTTACATAAACAAAGTATTGTAATTTTGGCCGATTTGCGAATTTAAGACTAACATCAAGGCCCAAATCTCATGTCTGTAGGTCAGGTAATATTCTATATGTGGCAACATTATTTGGCTGTGTTTGGGTACATAGATTTCTGTAATATATGCGTTTTTCCCCACACCTAACAATGCCAATATTGATTTGATATTAGTTGAAACTTTTACATCATTGCATCTCCAGCCATATTTTAGGTCGATGTGTCACTACATGGTTCACTACAACTCTAAAATCTAATTTTAAAACAAACTGCCACCGGCTTCCAGCACAGACTAACTGGCCTATAAAAACTATCTTAAGCTAATACAGTAATTATGAAAACCTGTGCTGTGCGTCTGATGCAACAAGGGCCTCTTCTAACGGATATTTAACCCGCTGACCAAAACTATAAATATCTATTAAAAAAGCGTCCTGACAATTCAATTCTGTTTTGGCTCAATAATGCCACAGAATTGAGTGTCTTTATCCAGAGAGCTGTATCGGAGAACACGAAAAATTGTCTAACCTCATAGCACCGACACAAGGAGGCTGCCATCTTGATCTTGAAATGCGCGGAGCACCACGTGCATCCGCTGCAGCGTCTGACTTTCTGACTGACCAATAGCAGCACGCAAAACGAATGGGGGCGAGGTCAGCAGTAAGCATGGTATTGGACTGAAAATTCACCCTCAAAACAAATAGGTATTTTCTGTTGAGCGACGATAAAACGCGAAGCACGACATGTTTTCAGTGACTGTTAATAATTCCATAAGGGTTTACAAGCACAAAGCTAATTTTGAGATTCCACCGAGACTACTGTACTCCTAAATGGGCTCAATTTGAATTCACGGTTTAAACTCAGTAAATCCTTACCGGAGAATATTTACACAACTCCACCAGTTTTTGCTAAATCTTCTATTTTCTTAATTTTTGCAAAGAAATTGGGTAGCCTTATACGGACTGGTGGGTTTGAGGTTAGACATGTTCATTCAGATTTTTGTTTAAGTAATACTGCAAACGGTATGAACATTTAAGGTGGCTAATAGTTGTTGATGCTTTATAATAAGACGACATGCTCTCTAAAGAGGATCCAGATGAATGGGAGGCATCTGCTGGCATGCTGGGCAACGAGCGCCCCCTAGTTGAAGGTATTTGAATTGCAGGGACTCCTCCCCTCCTTCTGCAGGGTTTGGAGCTCTCCACTTCTGCGGCCAGCTCGCCTTGACAGCCGACACTGGCGCAGAGTCTGGGCTCAAACCTTTACCACATTTTTCTTCCAGAGGGCTAACATTCATAGCCATACGTCCCACTCATCCTCTACTGGAGACAAGCGTTGGAGCGGCCTCGTCTAGAATGGGGAACCGAGACGACGAATACGATTTCTTGTTCAAAGGTAAAGGGAAGGAGAAAAAAAGAAACGAAATGACTGCATTTCCCTTTACAAAGACTGACCCAAACAAAAACGATGCTTTTCGAATGGCAGTTAGTGTTTTATATGTGGTTACCGTTGAGCAGTTGCGTTCATTTTCAAAGGAAACAACAATATTTCAGTGGCTGTCCGGATGATAATCGGTTGTTGTTATTACAGCACAATGCTGTGACAACACAGCGCCTGCAGCTAGATTTATGATTAAAGCATGCAATATTCAATCTGTGCTCAATCTCCTTATTAAACTTTCATCAACTCAAAGAGCAGGACAGATTACTGTTCCCCAGATCGACATTTGATGTTTTCTATTTACTTTTGTGGATGTGAACCAAAGGCCCATTGGCTTCTACCTATAAGGTAGACAAAAAGATGCATCCCCTTATTATTGCTCCTTTGTGTATACTGCAACTTCATCTGCTCCGGTTCTTTATGACAATCAGGAGGCCAGAGAGGCTGTGACTGGAACAGGGCCAGAAACCAGGTCCATGTTTGCTTCCAGAATGCCTTCTTTGATCTAGATATCAGCCCCTGTGGCACATTAACATCCCAGGCCTCTATAAGCCAATAGGCCATTTAGATGTAACAAAGTATCCTCTGTGGGATGAATAGGGCATCTGCCGGAGGCGAAGGATCTCTGCCCTTCTCTCTCCCCCCTGTGCTTCTTTTGACCCGAGCCATAGTCTGTGCACCCGTCCGAAGCAGGAAGGGCAAGGGGGCCTGAAACTGTCGATTCAGGTTTTGATGAAGCCAGTTATCAGCTTCCTGCAGCCTGGATCTGCTGTTGCCGAGAGGGGAGGACAAAGTTCGGCTCCGTTTCCTTTTTGTCGTGGGAGAAGGGAAACAAAAACACTCCACCTCAGCTTGATCAGTCACAGCACCACTTCGGCTGAAGAGTGCGTGAACGACATTGCCTATCGATGATCAATTACTATTGATACCTCATACTAAGGAAGTATCAGGATGTTAACTTTGCAGCTGTTCCTGTGGAGTGCCTGTCGAAGAATGCCTCTCGAAACTTTGGACAAATTATGCCCATAAACAGCCTCCTGAGAGTTCACTGCACTGTTCCTGTAGTGTCCTGTTTATTCAAATTATACACTATTTCTATTTGTCTATTTAAGCTTTTCTTCTTCCCTATTTAGGTGCTGCAAAAGTTACTTTGAAAGGCAAACCTTAAACCCTTTTGATGCCAACATTTCAAGGCACTACCTTGCATAAAGGGCCAACCCCCTACCTCTTTTGTCACACACGTCCCTCACTTTCTTCTCTCTTCTCTCTTAGTTGTGTTAATCGGAGACTCTGGTGTGGGGAAGAGCAACCTGCTCTCTCGATTCACAAGAAACGAGTTCAACCTTGAGAGTAAAAGTACCATTGGGGTGGAGTTTGCCACTCGCAGCATTCAGGTGGATGGCAAGACGATAAAGGCTCAGATCTGGGATACAGCAGGACAGGAGCGCTACAGAGCCATCACATCAGCGTGAGTCTGTGCCTGTGCATAGTGTTCTCCATACCTGACATCAAACATGGTTGGAGATTAGATCACAACTGACACTTTAAAATGATCTCTGATCTTTTCCACAACAGTTAAAGACAGTTAGCTGCGTCAAACCTACCTGAGCAGAACACCGATCCCATTGAATGTACTAAATACATAGGTTTAGCTGGTAAACAGCAAATATATCATGCAAATATGAATATCATTTGATTAATCATTTGAATTTTAGCATCTTTGGGCCATGTCATGTCATCCTCAGAATTTCCCTTAACACTATTTTTTATTCAGTCATCAATATAAAAAAGCCAAAGAGAAGATGTGCACACAACATTCATGTGTTGATGGATCCATCTGTCCTCAGAGGGCCTGCAGACACTGATATTTGACAGGTAGAATCTGCCTTTGGTTTGTTTCAGATACTACAGGGGAGCGGTGGGGGCGCTGTTAGTGTATGACATAGCCAAACACTTGACCTATGAGAATGTGGAGCGCTGGCTGAAGGAGCTAAGAGACCACGCTGACAACAACATCGTCATCATGCTGGTTGGCAACAAAAGCGACCTGCGCCACCTCAGGGCTGTGCCCACAGATGAAGCCCGGGCCTTCGCAGGTACTGAAACTCACAAATGAGGTTTGACCGGAGAGTAATTTGATGGTTAGATCATCTCAAGAATATTGTGTGTTGCAATGTTCTTTTCCCATGCTTTTTATTTACAGTTTATTAAGTGCTAATTATGTTGAGAGTATTGTATGGCATGTTTTCATCTTGGCACACTTTTGTTCTAAATGAAAAATAATATTTGTGTTTACCCACAGAGAAGAACAATCTGTCATTCATAGAAACCTCAGCCTTGGACTCAACAAATGTTGAAGAAGCCTTTAAGAACATCCTCACAGGTATGTCTGTGATGAGAGGAGCCGCTCTGTACTAGAGCAATGTCAAATAAAGGGCCATACATCCTAAGCAAAGGTTTCCTGTAAGCACGTTCAGCTAAAACCATTAACTGACTTTTCTGCTCTGTAACTAAGACTGTGAAGCTAACCTGTTGCCTGGCAGGTTTCTCTAAAAAACTCTGAGGTTTCAACTGCTGCAGAGCATGAAGCCGCTGTCTCACACACTGTTTCAGTTCCTCATTTACTCAGAAGACAGTAACGACTACCTGTAACATGACAAAGTACAAACAATTAAAAAAAACTGCAAGCAAAGAATAGCTGGAAATGCATTACATGAAGATTTAGATTCCCAGTAAAGATTGGTGACCAGTATTTCACTATGTTCAGATAGCTCTCTCTGATGCTGCATTCCTGCCATAGCTGGCATGTTTAGTTAAAGATAACAGGAAAACATTTGGGGGAAGATCCTCATTACAGAACTTAAAGAACTAAGATTTTAACAACAAAACATGGTTATAAGCTTTATTTGATTTAATTGTGTTTTGACTTTTAAAAAGTGCTGCCAGATTTCCAGTTTAAAAATAAATGGAATCACTGTGAACAACTAGATATTTTTAACTTTGCTTTCCTTAATTTTTACTGAATGGGCCTGTCATGTCCACAATGTTCGTTTTCAGTTGCCGTCACCCTCATTTGTCCTGCCTGGTTTCAACTGGATGGGTCCATTAAATACTGAATACTCAGTATGATACCCACCAGTTAAGATGGTTAAACAACGACTGAGTAAATAAAATGCAATACTCCATTCACTCTTAACAACATACATAATTCAAACTATTAATTAGTTCAAATTTTCTTATGAATTGGATTCCTTTGTTTGTAATAGAAAACTGACGTCTATTTTAAATCTTTTACTTCAGCAGAGAAAAATGTTTTTTAAACAGGAATACTAATTTTTTGGGGATAAATCAACTCATACACTCAGTAGCTTCCTCTTACTTTGGCTGTTTCTCTGTAGCTGTATTGTTTTACTTTTAGGAACCACAAATGGTTGGAACTGTGACTGTTTGAGAAATAAACTGACCAAGCCAGAGCATTTTGATATTTGTTTTCTAATCCATCTCTTTAAAAAACAGAAATATATCGCATCGTATCGCAGAAACAGATCGCTGAGCGGTCTGCCCACGACGAGTCCCCGGGAAACAACGTGGTGGACATCAGCGTCCCGCCAACAACGGACAGCCAGAGGGGGGGCAAACTACAGTGCTGTCAGAACCTGTAACCCTCAGCAATGGTCGTCTCTCACCTGGGTCAATTATTGATTGAAATGCACAATGTGATGTTCCATCAGCCCCGGGTGCAAAGTTTTCAGATCAGTGGAAGTCAGTTCCATAATGCCACAAATGATGAAACCCAGAAGGAAGAGTTTGTTTTCAAATTGTAATCTGATCCAGGTACAGCAAGCTACATTCTGGTGAAAAAAAAACAGGACTGATGGTACATCGTAAGCAGATGCCACAGCTAGTTAACCGTCATAGTGTAGCAGAATAGCCTTGCCTGTGACCTTTGCATAAACCCATCTCTTCCAACCACCAATTTAAAGCCTTGGTTTTAGACCCTGCCTGTTTCATTGGTATCAGCAGTCCTGTTTTTGGGCTTCTCAATCTCCTTCAGTCATCATCTCAAAAGTGATTGTGACACTGCTGACGCTTCAATTTTGTGTAAAATATATTTTTTTCTTTTTTCACTTTTGTTTGTTTTAATTTTGATAGCTTGTCTGCTCACATACATTATATCAATGCCATGAAATAAATTTTACAATATGATTTTGTCATGATTTTGAGAAATGGACACCAAACGTACAACTTGTAGCGGTGATCTACTGCTGGACATATCAGGATTTGTACTGTAAAAATGAAACTTTATTTCACTTTTCAGGTCTAAAGCGATTGGCATTAAATTAAACCATTCAAGAAATTAGAACAAAAACCACTTTCAAAGTGAGTAAAGAAACAAACAGAGCTCATCCCCAGGGTATAGTCAGCAAGAGTGACTGAGACCCATGTTTCTCTCTTAAATAGTTCAAATATCCACCCAAATGGCAAACTTTAAATAAAAACTTCTGATAATGCCTGTACAAAACCTGTGGTTGCAGAGTAAAATTAAGGCTGATCTGCTGGTAAGTTTGTACATGATAATGTTAGGCGCTTTGAACCCCACAGAGGTTAGCTGTGCGAGAAAGATTCTTAATATTTATTTTCATTCTTAGCCAAATTTATAGTTAACTCACCTTCCAGATGTCTTGTAGAGTTCTTGTAGAGAGGTATTAATGCCATCTGGGTAAGTTATCTCAGACATGTCCTGCTGGTCAGTGGCCTTGGGGCAAACCCAAGATTTTGGCCTTGGGGCAAACCCTAGATTTGCCAGGGTACATCTCAGTTTCCTCTGTAAGAACTGGAGGGGGTGCTGCGGGTCTATGGATCACTGGCTTGGGCTGTTTTCATAATTCCTATATAAATGGTGGTTCCATCACCACAAAACCAATGAAGAAAATAAAATAGTAAAATCTTGTAAAATCATTATGATCATGGGATACATTTCACAAGCCTCAACAGCTAAAATAACCACAGTCCACCCAAAGTCCAGGAGTCCCTCATGTTTTATTGCACCATAAACCAACTTTCAAGGGGATGAAGCAGGACTGCAATGACGCAGAATACTTTGTTTAGCATACATTGCATACACCGATCAATATCTCAAAAAGATATTTCTCTTTTTGCACTTTTCCCAAGCATCAGCCTGCTCTGATTACCTGGGATTTATATGGGTAAAATCATCTCTCAAACAGTTTCTCCTCCATTTCAAAGCGCGTTGGGATGTTAGGACATTACTATTGGTTATCGCTAGGCAGCTCAGTTAATGGATGGTGCATTTACAAGTGGAGCAGGGCTGTTTGTCAATGGACTCAGATGATAATAGAAGATAAATCATCCAATTAGAACATAAACACTTTACTTTCCTTACACATCACTACACTGCTGCTCTCCAGCTGGAGGGTTATCCAATATGCTACAAGTGTCACTGCCCCCCTCCTGAAAAGTGTGATTAATAGACAATGCTTCTGCTGCTGCCTTCATAGGAAGAGAATTTCATTTTCACTACTCCAACAACAACATAAATGCCTAACCTGGAAAATTAGAGTTCAGCTTATAGACAAAGACACCGGTAAGGGTGACTTCCACCCACTACTAGTCAAACAGAGAAAAAAATAGTATTCACAGCTAGACCTTGTCAATCGTGTTTTTTTTTTTAAGATTACCATCTTCAGCAGGGTTATTAGTTCCCATTGTTCAAAACCAGTTAAATACATTGTGAAGGGGCATGGGGGAATTATAGGTAGTGAATATGTTTCATATTATACTGTAGTAGCATGCTGAATCAGTTATATCCTGCTACATTAGCTTGTGTCTTAGTATCTCATAAGTTTGTATCACTGACAAAAAGTCAGGCTGATTAGTCCATTACTCATATTTCCACTTAGTCAGTTCCCAGGGCTGGCTCCTGGGGGCAACTTAGTGTTCATCAACAGTGACTCTGGAATGAGTTCTTCCCAAAACCACTTGTGTGGTTGGCCAATACGTGGTAGTTTTCATCAAGTGCTTCAATAAACATAAGGAGAAAGCAGCTCTTCCCCCTCAGAATGGTCCATAGGAAGTGCAAAGGTTCATTATTATGATTAATTTTGATTTTAGAGAGTGCCTGAGTGAGCTTCCTTTTATCATATCCCTCTTTCCACCGCTCTGGCACTCATACGATGGTCTCATCAGTCATTTTCTTGGTCGACTTGGTCGGCACTGAACGCTGGGTGGTGTGCGCCCCTTTCATGTCCGGCATGAGGAGGCGCACCTTCTGATTGGTCCGCCTCCACTCCGAGTACAGCTGGCAGTGATACCGAAATGATACCTGAGATGGAATAAAATTATCATAGGAGGAGGGCGTAACAAGAGAGAAAAAGGCAGACATCAGTAAGTGTTAGGAGTATATTTAACATAAGTAGTGCAGACCTACATCAGAAACAGAGGCTGGCAAGAATGGAAATCTTAGGAAGTGACTAATTCAGCCATGCTTTTTAATTAAATTACTACAGAGGAATAAATAAACATCTGAACTATTTTTTAAGAGAACCCCCAGTTAAAAAGAAAGCATTCCCTTGGTAACAGTACCTGAAGCCTTTTTCTTATCAGCAGAATAACTTAATAATGTGTTAGTTACCAGTGTCCACAGGATGTAGATGGTGAAGAGGGCAATGGTGAGGGCAATGAGGCCTACAGCCTCAAGTCTGCTCTTCAGCTGCAAGTGGTCCTGGGCTCCCCTCAGACATAGCCACCCAGAAATGGCTGCCAGGGGTGTAATGAGAAGGAAGCAAGCCATGTCGCACAGCAATGTGCGTTTCTCACTGCGTGGCCCGGGATCCTTCAGCCACTGAGTAATAGAATGCAGAGGTCACTGGAGCAAGTCAAAGTTTGCTTTGGATCGTAATTTAAAAACCTGACTTAATGCTGTGATTGTCTGTAAAGGTAAGAGGGGACAGCTCATCAATTAAGCAGACCAATTTGTTAGTATGGACAAATTACCTCTACAACCCCTGGCAAAAATTATGGTTCATTCAGTTGTTTGATTTTGTAGGAAAAAAAGCAGATCACAGACATGACACAAAACTAAAGTAATTTCAAATGGCAACTGTCTGGCTTTAAGAAACACTAAAAGAAATCAAGAAAAAAAAGTGAAAGTCAGTAAGGGTTACTTTTTAAGACCAACCAGAGGGAAACAAATATGGAGTCACTCAATTTTGAGGAAAGAAATTATGGAATCATAAAAAAAAAATTATGCTCCAACACATAACTAGTATTTTGTTGCACCACCTCTGGCTTTTATAACAGCTTGCAGTCTCTGAAGCATGGTCTTAATGAGTGACAAACAGTACTCTCAATCAATCTGGCTCCAACTTTCTCCGATTGCTATTGCCAGATCACCTTTGCAAGTTTTAGCTTTGTCATGGACCATTTTCTTCAACTTACACCAATGATTTTTAGTTGGATTAAGACCCAGACTATTTGCAGGCCATGACATGTATCTTATGTGTTTTTTTTCAAGAAATGTTCTCACAGTTTTTGCTCTATGGCAAGATGCATTATCATCTGTAAAAATTATATCATCCCCAAACATCCTTTCAATTGATGTGATAAGAAAATTGTCCAAAATATCAACGTAAACTTGTGCATTTATTGAAGATGTAATGAGAGCCATCTCCCCAGTGCCTTTACCTGAAATGCAGACCCATATCACCTATGACTGTGGAAATTTGTATGTTCTCTTCAGGCAGTCATCTTTACAAGTGTAATTGGAACAGCACCAAACAGAAGTTCCAGCATCATCACCTTGCCCAATGCAGATTCGAGATTCATCCCTAATCATGACTTTTATCCAGTCATCCACAGTCCACGATTGCTTTTCCTTAGCCAATTGTAACCTTGTTTTTTCTGTTTAGGTGTTAATGATGGATTTCATTTAGCTTTTCTGTATGTAAATCCCATTTCCTTTAGGCAGTTTCATACAGTTTAGTCAGAGATGGTGACTACAGTTTCCTCCCATTCGCTCATCATTTGTTTATTTCAAACGTGTGAAAGGCCATACAGGTGTTTACAAAAAGTGAAAAACTACATATGTATTAGCAATCAACAGCACTTCATCTACTATTATTTATTATTCCAGTGTTGCAATCATGAGCTGACCCTATATGCTATCATGTAACGGGGGAGCATACAGCTAGTCAGTTAGGTTTGCTTTAGGTAATGTTTGGTGCTACATCCTGAGTGAACAGGAAGAACTGAACTAGCGCTCATTTACTAGCTTATATGTCATTGTATTTTTTTTACTTACCTTGATATGCTTCTTCATATTAGATGGGGAATTTTTGAAGGCCATGACTTCGCAATCTTTAGGGAGACATTTTTTTTATCGGCTATGCTTTATTGCTCAAATTGCCCAATGATGAGCCAGTCTCACAAACCGTGACAGAGCTATCTACAGCTCTGGCATTGACACTATGACTTGGGATGATTCATAAAGTTTACATATCAGTAACGAGTATGGTTCAGCCCGTGAAAAATCGATCGGAGTAAAAGTATTAAATTAATTAAAAATGTGAGGTGGAGTAAAAGCATTTTGGTGCTTAAGTACAGTACTTAAGTGGTTCTACTTCGTTACTGTACATCTCTGACCAGTACGTTTGCCTTTAACAACCTTCCCATGTCGTTTATTTTTGGTCCAGATTTTAAACACAGCTGACTGCGAACAACCAACATCTTTTGCAACATTGCATGATGATTTACCCTCTTTTAAGAGTTTAATAATCCTCTCCTTTGTTTCAATTGACAACTCTCTTGTTGGAGCCAAGATTCATGTCAGTCCACTTGGTGCAGCAGCTCTCCAAGGTGTGATTAACCTTATTAAATGCAGACCAACGAGCAAGTCTAATTTGATGCAGGTGTTAGTTTTGGGGACGAAAATTTACAGGGTGATTCCATTATTTCTTACTCAGAATTGAGTGATTCCATATTTTTTTCCCTCTGCTTGGTCTAAAAAAGTAACAGTTTCTGACTACCACCATTTTTTTCCTTGATTTCTTTTAGTGTTTCTTAAAGCCAGACAGTTGCCATTTGAAATTACTTTAGTTTTATGTCATGACTGTGATCTGCTTTTTTTCTACAAAATCAAACAACTAAATGAACATCCTCCTAAGGCTGGTGATTCCATATTTTTTGCCAGGGGTTGTATATGTAAGCTGCAACTTTTCGCAACATGATCACCGTGATTTAATATTATCACCCATGACTCAAACAGAATCTAACAAAAGATACTTCTCATTTCAAACAAATTTGAACAGCTCATTTTTTCATCTCAGCTTCTCTCACAGAAACACAAACATGCAAAGAAAAAGTGTCAGGGTTGCAATGAAGTGTCTCTTACCTGTGTGAGTGGTTGTGGTCGCCGTTCAATGGTGAACTCTGTGTGACAAAGTTCACAGTAGCTGGTATTAGAGGATGAAAGCCATTTCTCCAAGCAGCTTTTGTGCACCTTGCCCAGTGTGCCAGTGCAGTCGCAGGGTGAGAGCAGCGTTTCTCCACCAGCTCCTTCATGACAAATCCGACACATACCCACATCGCTGTGCAGAGAAATAGAACAGAAGTGAAGACCACAATATGAGGGTGACATGAATCTTATTAATCTACAGACATTTATTCAGGTTTTACAGAGACATACCTTTGCAAGCTCACAGCTTTGACAACAGTGGAGAGTGGGCGACCATCTTTAGCCGTAACCTTGGCAACATACTGGGCCTGCGTGGCGGAATCAGACTCCTCTGAATCCTTTGAGGCATCAGTTTCAGCGTTGCCAGAGTAATCACAAAGGGAGCCAGGTAGTTGGCAACACCCCGATGAAGACATGGCTCATCTAAGGTTGACACTGACAAATATGATGGTGGAAGTGACTTCAGAAGAAGATCTGAACAGCACCGGAACCTCTAATCCTATTCTCTTGTTGTACTCTCCACTGACAGAACAAAAGCCCTAATGGAAGCTGAACAGAAGATGAACAAGACACAATGTATAGGTCACCTGGACAACATATGCAGTAAATCATGTCAAACATGCAACGCTTCAATAAAACACATGAAAGTTCAAGAGTTGAACAACTCCTCAGAACAACAAGGTTTACAAAGCAACAGGTAAGTGGATGACTGATTTTATGATCAGCCAAAGCGGTGGAATTAAGGATTACTACATACATCTGGTGTGTTTCTTTTTACTTGGCAGGTATATACATTTTAAAGGGTGCATTCAAGATCAGCAGATCATACCAACAGTTTGCCCATGCTCTGCCGATGTATCTCAACTGAATTTTTAGTAGGAGATTCCTGCCATGGAAATTTATGGTATATGCTATTCAGTACTTATTCTTGAAAGTGGTTGCAATATGTTATAAAAGCAGTGTGTGTGTGTGTGTGTGTGACTTCAAATGTAAGCAACTTGAATTGGTTAAAATGGGTTCTAATAAACCTAATAAATATGATCAGGGATCATTCAATCCTGTTCCACATTCAATACAACCCTAATGTTTCAGAACAGGGAACACTATTAACTTTCTCATGATTTTTAGGTTTAAGTTTGACTGTTTTGTGACTATTTTAATCATTAATGTTAGGCTGATTGATCAATGATTATTAATACTTATTTGAGATAAGAAAAGCTCTGGTAGTAGAATTTATTAACTACGTTTGGAGTGTTTGTCAAAAAAAAAAAATTTGTACTGCATTTCTGCACATTTTCTGAAATAAAAATAATAATTTCAACGCAATATAGTTGAAAAAAAGAACACTGCTAAATGCAGCGTACATTCTAGACTGAAATGCCTCAAGGTTGATCACTAAATAATGTAAGATGTTGACACTATATTAATATAAAGGGTAAAGTAATTCTCCTACAGCTTATGGTTCTAAATATGATGAAAACGTTGCTAAAAAGTTTTAAAAAGTACAAGAGCAAAGCACTTGATCTTTGAAGGAGCTCACCCAATAAGACATCCACTGATATAAAATTAAAATTAAGTAAATATGAAAATTAATTTTAAAAAAAATCAAATGTCATGACTTTCAGAGATGCTTAACACCTTCTGCAGTATCTCAACCGTTTGTGTTTGAAACACAAACGTACACAGCTCGAGCTTTCAAACAGTGAGCTTAAACAGCTTTTAAAGCGTTTGGTGCGTTTAAAAAAACCCGGGTGTATGTTACGCTTCACCAAACCACCTATGTTAGAGAGCACATTTGCAATATTACACGGGGTCAATAAAAGTACTTGTTTTACAGGCAGACCTTATCGACGACTGGGGCAAACAAACTATCCCCTGTTTGTTTGTGTGTTACCCCCTACCTGCCTCTGCAGCATAAATCTTCCCAATGGTTCTGTCAACAGCGCAATCTGACATGGCTTTCCTTAGAAGTGGCAAACCAATGTATCTGAAGGCAAGTACACTAAGCCTATCAATGCTGCTGCGTTTAAAGGCAACGTACTTTTAAAACCCATGAAGCTTACACTATTATCGCCGTAAAAACAAAAGCACGCACAGTCAGACTGTGCGACTAATGGACATGTACATTTTGTAACCTTATTACAAGATTAGCAGTTAAAAATAACACAGCTTACGTCAATTATGCTCCTATGTACATGACTGGTACAGGACCATTAATGAGGAACTGCCATCAAAGCCGAATTGGAATGAAATACAATAAGACATTACAATCATGTTGGCAGCAATCAGCCATTAAATTAGTGCATGATCAAAATATAGAAAACATTGTTATGTAGAGGAAAAAGAGACATTATGGTAAATTTACTTACCCGCAGGCCTGTTTTTTTTCGCTTGGCCTTGGCCCAACGTTGGCCAGCCACAAGCTAACTGAGCTAACTGTACAGCCTTAGTTACAAATTGACATTGACATCTATGCGAAAGATAGCGATACGAGTATATATGAAAGACGTCCATACGTGCTGTATCCTCCCCATGACTTATGATGTATGGCTCTGTGGCAATTTGGTGTGAAAGTTTAAAAAGAAACGGCTATTTCTGCCAGCATTGCTAGACACAGCTAAGGGAGCTAACTGGTTAGCAACGGGCAAGCCTTCCTCGGCATCCCTCAGCTGTGAACTGGTCATGTGACACCATGCAGCCCTCATAGTCATCTGCAACATTGGATGCTAAAGACATTACCCAGGTAATATATATCAAAGAGGCTCAGAGGAGATTTTGTAACAGCGTTACGAAGGCTTGTAAAGACTGATTATAACTTTGTTCTAAATTACTACATTTATCCTGGTTTGAGAGTTTAATTTAGGCGCAATCATAGCACTGTATATCGCATTGAAACTAAGTACAAACACCCCTACCTCTAAAATGATGACATTCCACTTGTTTAGAAGTCTATGAGAAGATATATCAATCCTGAATCAAACTTGTAAAACAACAAAATACGAAATGCCTTCAATGCATTAGGTCCTAAAAATATAGTTTGTAGTGTCAACATCAAAACGCTAGGAGGAGGCAAATAGTTAAACAGTTCTTGAATGAATGGTGATCACTGTGTAGAGTCGACTGTAGACGTTCCAGGCGTTTGCCTAGGTCAAGGTATTATTTATTTGATGCAGTCTTTAAACACGAGTTCAATAATAGCAGGAAATATGCTCTATATACCTTGTCTCTGATCCAAGTAGAATATAATTGTGCTGTTTGTAGTTGATATAAGTTTAACTGAATGTATTTATAGTTGCTATTATAGCAACTGTGGGACTTTTTTTTATAACGTATCAAACATACATGCATTTTTATTTAGAGTCCATTGATTCCCAAATAAATACATATCAAGTACAAATATCGGCCAGAATACATAAGGCTGCAAGACTGTAAATGTTGGATCATGCCTGTTTATTTTCAACATTACTCTTTTTAGCACCAGGTATCAGCACACCACCACATGTTAAAGCTGAATAAAGCAAAACATCTGGAACCTGACTATTTGACATTTAAACAACAAGGTCACCTAATGCTAAAATCTTGGTATTCTTCATATTAAAAATATTTGGAAAATTTAATTCTATATCATACAGAAAAATTCAAGACTCTGATACCTTGACAACAGTTTAACTGAAACCCATCATCAATTTATAAATTGTCTTATAATTCAAGCTAAAATAGAATCATGCCATTTTAATCTATTAATTAAACAGTATCTATTTCTGTCTAACTGACCTGCCTTACACTGACCCTACATCCTTTTCAGTCTCTTTGAACCAAAACATTGATAAAGAAAGGGGTCCAGTTGAGATCAATGTGATCTCTGCACGTTTTTTTAAACAGGGATTGTCACACACGTGACACAATACACACACGCATTCACACTCCTTAGAGCTTGCCTTTTATTAGTCAGCACACCTATCTTATTGGGGCAAAGTCCAACACAAATCATGAGATGCTGCATCTCCACATGCATGGGATGTCATAAGACATGTATTAGTGGACTTTAACTGAGACCACCACACAAATGCACCCGCAGATCATTAACATGACATAGTTTGAATTGTCGAGCAGTAGTTAACCAGATTCCCAACTTGCTGAAAAAGGAGAGTACAAAACAGTATTTGTGAGATAGGTAAAAATAAGAATAAGTAAACATGGATGGGTGTGGTATTTATGTTGTAGGGTGAGGGACTGGGTCGCAGTGAATGTTGAGTTATTTATTCATTGCTGCTGTTAGGAAGGAAGGTGTCAAACTTTTAAATAGAGCTCAATCCAAATGTGCCTTATATTGTCAAAGTTCCCATTAAGGCAGTCCCATGACTTTTCAGAATTTCTCCCTATAGATATGTTTGTGAGATCAAACCAAAACTTTTGATCTAGTACTTAAATATTATCAGACACAGTATTTACATTGTAAATATTTATTTTGATCAGTGTAGAGTACAACAAGGGAGTGACAGATAGAGACAGACAGATTGCATAACTTATTTCCAGCCTTGGGCTTTCAATAACAGTAATTCAGGTGCCTCTCTTCCATCTTGTGATCCCTTAAGGGGTTTGCATGAGTCCTCGTGAGCACCAGTGGAAACCAGTAATTCAGTTTCTGTCATTTTCTGATGGTCCCTTGGAAAATGGGCACTGGACTCTCATTCTAAAAGAAAATACATATTTAATTAAAATGAATAAGTACAATTTTCTCCTTTTTGTGACACTCTAATCCTATAATGCCTTGATTAAATATGAATGCAATGTGCCACTTAGAGCACTGTAGTTCGGACAACTTTCAATAATTCTGATAATTCTATTGGCTTACAATGACAATTCAGGGCCTTTTGAGGTTCATATTAATTTTTGTCATTTCCTATTTCTTATATAATGAGGTTACAATCATAACTGCACTGAATTTCAATGGAATTCTACTAAATTAGATTTCATGGAACTTTTCAGCTCAACCCGTTGTTTATCTGTCCATCAGAGTGTGTTTGATGTTTTGGACCTTGACCAGGCGCTGACCATATTGATTTAAATGCCCAAATAGTCTTGGAGGGTGGGATTTTAAAAAGAGCTAAATAAACAAACAAAAAATGGAAAGCACAAACCTAACAGAAGCACAGGTCATAGATGTAAAAATAAAAAAAGTGATTGGTTTCTGTAAATTGTTTCAGTCAAGTAATTTTGTACATATTACCTATAAGAACAAATAAAAAATAAATGATCCTGCTGATGTAAAACACAGTTAGAGCAAAGTAAATCATGTCCAAATAAAACTGTACAAAAATGTGTGGAAATAATAAAAACCAAAACAAATATATCCTTAAACAGTGCTGTTATAATGACAGACACTTTTCAGTCACTACATGGGTGAAAATGATGAAACAAAGTTATTCTCATAAAAATTTACATGTGGTACATATTAAACGGAGAAGATCGTATTTTCAAAACATTTTTTTTATTCTAAAAAATATCATCTTGCGGACATTCATTTCAGCTTAATGCTGGTCATTGATAAGAAGCGCACCAATTTCTATTATGTGCCCAAATCAGCTCTACAGTAATAATCCAAGGCCTCAGTATCACGGGACCACACTAATAAAAGACGTTACAGGACTGGTTTTGATTGTGTGAATGTGAACGGTAAAACTATGCACATGACTTCAACTTGTCATATAAGCATGTGATAAATTAAGTTCATCTAGTGGCAAATGTAAGTTATTTTTTTTTTAAATTTAGACAAGCTTTTTATAACTGTGCCTATTGAAATGGTACACTGCAAATGAGAACTGCCAAGAAAGTGCACTTTAAAAATGTTCTATTAAAGAAACCTAAATTCTTTTGAGAAGAACGACATGAACACTTTGGGATCAAGAAGACGGTATATCCGTCCCTAGAGGGAATATAACTTTGAGGCAACATTTTGCATTTTGCTCACAACTTTCTGACATTTGGTTGTGGATGTATTTGACAGCCCAATTATTCCCAATTCATTATGTCAAGCTCTCTTTCAGAAGATGCACAATTCATATCTAAACGACTGACTGTTTGGTGACAGAGAGAAACAAAACCAATCCACAATATTTATCCACTACCATGCTTCACAAATAGTCTGATTTTATAATATTTCCATTATATATTTAAAAAGCTCTTTGACTATTCTGACTTACAGACAGTATTCTTAATGGCATACTTTATTCAGATGGCTTTGCTTTAATGCTTTTCTTAGACACACACACATCCCCTATACAGGTCAAATATGTGCAATCTGTTTAAAATTGTACTTTGCACTTTTTTGCCTTAAAGTGTTTGATCTTTAAACTGAATCAGCTTGGACAGCAGTCTTGGATACATTTTAATAACTTAAGATTTATACCACTTGTACACATTGAAAAAATTTCAAACAATTTGTGTTGGAGCTATTTATTCTTTTTCTTTATGCATCTGAATTTTTGTTAGTTAATTCTTAAATGTATATTTTTGTATTAATTTACAGTATTTATTTTGCAGGTTAATAATTGTTGATTCTATTTAATTTCTTGTCTTATTATTTTTCTTATTCATTATTTGAGTAAAGCAGGAAATGGGTCATGTGGGTCAGTCCACTTGCCTATAAATATAGGGGCCTGGTAAAGGACCTGCAGGCATATGGGTTGGGGCCTATGGTTTTACCAGGACAAGAGAAGAGATCAGGACAAGAGAACAGGACAAGAGAACAAGACAAGAGATCAGGACAAGAGATTAGAACAAGAGACAGAGAAAGCAAGAGCCAGAGAACAGAAAGTTTGAAGTCTGTAATTGTTGCAAAAAAGGGAACCAATAAACCTTCAACAAGAATCAAGAAGTTTGGATATGAAATCTTTTCTTTCCTGCGTATAGAAACTGGACCCCATTGCCTCTTAGAGGCTTGAAGAACATTTCTTTTGATGTTTGGTTCGACAATAAATCGCCACTATAATTTGGACATTTCTTAGGTCCCTTGTCAGAGTTCAACGGATTCACAACATTTTTTATCAGAGCTTGAAGCACCTTAATATTGTCAGTAACATCAACAGCAAAAAAAATATTTGAGCATGGTCTTATCATTGGCAACATCATACAAATTCTATCATATGTGTAACAAATGTATAAGTCTACTGAATTTCCTTTGTTATCATCCACATCAAAAGCCAAGTATTTCCATGGGATTTACAGTACTTACTATTTCACATGACTGCACTTTGCAGACAATTAAAAAACTGTGTGGATTTCATCAGGTCCATAATCAAATCATGACCTGATTATTCTGAATCAGCTGATGACCTCAAAGAAAAAAGAAAAACTTTACATGAAGAGTGTCTAAGCTGGGAAAGACAATCCATCTTTGCCATGCTAAATGACATTAAATACACTTAAAATAAAGTGAGAATTGCTGTTTTCAGTGTTGCTTCACAGATTGTTTCAAACTGTGAAGAAATAGGAAGCAGCTGTGTGAATATTTATGACAGTGATACTTACTTTGTAATACCAAAAACTGAAAGTATGAAACATGAAAACATTCTAAGAAACAATGACTAGTTTACCAGTTCTTGTTTATTCCTCTGATTCAATTAAATCTAAAGACCATGTAAAAGGTGACTACCCGAGGTTCATCAGAGAATTCAGTTATAAATACAGAGGACTTCAGAATCAGAATCAGAAAAAGCTTCATTGCTATGTAATTTTTTGGACATACAGGTGATTTGTTTTTGTGGAGTTGGTGCATGACCATTATCTGTAAATGTAAATATAACAACCGGAAAAAACAGTATAAATTTTAGTATAAATATATATACACAGTAAGGTATGGTCGGTAAAAGATAGATTTAATTTACACAGTTCTGTACAGAGACTGATAAAGTTATCTAAATTCAGGAACTGACATACAGAATTAGAGAAAATTGTATGTATGATTTTCAAATTCAACAGCTTGGCTTGACACTGTTATGCAGTATTTTCAACAGCGGTTTCATGTACCAAGAAACCTTATGTGGAAACTAGATTAAAATAATTTGAGTGTTACCGATGTAACTTTTCTATATATGTACATATTCTATCCTAGTTAGTCTCGCAAAATAGACTTTGACTTCACTGAGACAAGGCACAAATGAAAACATGTCCTTGTCCTGATGTTGACACACCGACCTGTGACAAGATGATCCCCTCTGAAAGACTACACTCAACTGTAATGCAATCCTGATTCATTCACTGTTGAGCATGTGAACGCTGCATGATCAGGGAGGAGACAACGTGACGTCAAGCGCCAACCTGACCAATAGCAGCGTCTGTTTCCAGCATATACTGTAACTACTATGAGCTATGCCCCTTTGCTCTTGCTGCAGCGATGAAAGCAGGGGAGACAATTGAGTCAATTCCGTTGATGTGCTATATAACCGTTGGTGAGACCCGAGATATTTTAGTGCCAGTACACCGATTGATCAGCTCACAGCTCTGTGGTATATCTCGAAGATATAGGGTCCATAGGTCCACGAGGAAGCAGAGCAAGCTAAGATACACAGAGGGGGGGTTGACGGCCCGCTGCAGTCTGACTCACCGGAGAGTCGGCTTGCCCTTTCGTTTGTCTGTAGACGTGCGCATCCTCTCGGAGGGAGAAGGCAACGGGAATTGACGGAACCTACGCAGCGTTTCACTCTCTGCCGCAGCCAGAGGCGCGCTGCTTGGCAGAGCATGCTAAATAATGAGCCAAAGGGACACACTGGTTCATTTGTTCGCCGGAGGGTAAGTCAGACAGCGATTTGAATTAATTTATGCAATATGTGCTCTCAAATACACAATTGAAGTTTCATATGCGAGTTGTTGCCCTGTTTTTCGATTTTACAGAGTCAAAAGGGCAGTTTGTCAGCGATGCGCGTGCATTACCATCTGCCAGGCAGTTACGTGTACGAGCTGGACGTTAATGAGAGAACATTTCATATTATGCTTCCGGTTAATCCATAATCGTGTATCTGTTAGGTCTGCAGCTATTAACGGGAATATTACACGAGGCACTTCGGACCGAAATGTTAATAAATTATTCCCGAATTGTATCGTTGTTTTTATCTTTATTTTTCTTACATAAGTGGACTCCTTTATTTTGATGGCACGTGGAATTCCCTTCCGGGCTCATACTGCTCTTTGTAAATATCTTTTCGAACTGCTTCTTGAGCCACTGCAGTGACACTTGTTTACCCAAAATATTTAAGAACTAATGAGCCAGTGGCATGTGTTGTTTATCTTCCGTACCTCGCGGGATTGAAATTGTTAACTGTTAGGGTCACGAGTCATGTTTGAACTCCTAGGTTTATGCTAGGTTATAAATTAGGGACCTTTTAGCATTTCTAACAGCGTAATCTTAAACTCATGGACCAACCATTAGATAAAAATGTCCCTCCTTAAAGTCTGTTAATGGGCCAGACAATGTGTTCCTTAAGAGACATGTAAATGTATAAATGATTGGACCATATGTTTTGACCTAGCACATCTGTCTTGAAATCAGCCTTGTTTTTCCTGTTTATTACATTGTATTTCATCCACACACCAAGCCATCGTCACCCAAATAAGTGATCTAATCAACATCATATGTCTTGTCAGGTGTTCATAAAATGAGTAAACTAGATATATTTATATCTTAAATAGAGAGATTATTTTCTCAAAGCAGGCCTCAATGAAGGGCTGCCTACCTCAGCCACTTCCAGACATACACAGCTAGCAGCTGCCTAAAAAGTAGGCCAGGGGTCACCGCTGACTACATGCATGAATGTGGGTTGGTGTGTTTAAAAAGTAAATATGGCTGTTGCTATTCTAAATACACTTGCAGTAACAGGAATTCAGTGGCTGGATGTCAACATTCATCATAGTTTTTTTTTTTTAAACAGACTATAAAGTTTGGGAATTGTTTGCCTTTATATTGGCAGTTGTCTGAATAACTCTTTTTGTAGTCTGTTTAACATATTTACAAACATCTGTCATGTCTTTGTGGGACTCTTGATTCTACACAGGCAGATTGTCTTGTATTTAGCAGGTTTCAAAGAACCTGCACGGGTTTCCTGGAGAATTGAGCATTGTTTATGGACTATATCTATTTGATTTAGGCTCATCAGAATGATATACTAATTTATGGATTTTTTCAGTGGAAGAGATATGAGAGTATTTATTCATATTGATGCTTTGTGCTTTTGATAACTTGGTTGTTTTTAATTAGATTAGCTTTGGCTCACTCACTAGTCAGTTCATATTGACAAATTTCTCTCGAGTGTGTACAGCATGATCTTAACAACTGAGGTGAATAACAGTCTAATTTCATGACAACTCCTTTTCCCTGACTCGTGGCAAAAGGTAGCTCAGTTACACTGAACAGTGCTTGCTGTCTGCTCATTATGAAATCAGCTGTCTGTCACATGTTGTAAATCGGAACACAATTCATGTTGTTCAAACTTGTTTCTTTTACATCCTAGATGTGGTGGTACAGTGGGAGCTATTTTAACTTGTCCTCTCGAAGTGGTAAAGACCAGACTGCAGTCCTCCTCCATCACTCTGTACATCTCTGAAGTCCAGCTTAGCACTGTCAATGGAGCCAGCGTCGCCCGCGTTTCTCCTCCGGGACCTCTGCACTGTCTTAAGTAAGGAGAATGATCCTAAATATTAATTTTAAAGCATCGTGGTGTGTTATGCAGATCAGCCGTATTCAGAGAAATGTATCCTTTTTTTCCCCCCTTCTGTTACAGATGAAAACAATTTAGAAGCAGTTATTAATTATTCTACCACAAAATGTGGGATTGAGGGTGATTCTTCATTTGTGAATGTTTATACTATAATTAAAAAAATATTGTGATAATTTTTCTCTGATTTTGTGTTCACATAAGAGATGATTACATATATAATTTTGTGCTGTAATTTAGCGTCATAAACATGTTTATTATCAATATGCAAATAGTGATAGTAAATATTTGTTTCTCAAACAGCTGTTAAGAAACTGCAGAACAATGAACTGTCCCTTTTTGTCAGCTTTACCTTCTAACCAGTGGAAAGTTGGCTGGAACATCAAATGAGAAGTGAGAGTTTGGGGGAATTCATTACTGCTAATATGTTATTTGAAAACTACTGAGTTTCTCATTAATGTTGGAGCTCTTAGGGTTAAACAGCTCAAATGTAGATTATGTATGGATCTCTCTTAGTTTTTAGCTAAACTATTTTAGCATGAGTCAAAGATCATGTCACAGTGTTCAGCATATTGCATAATGCACAAGCTGCCCTGCAAGTGTGGAATTTTCCATTCCCACATGACTTAAGTCTGATTAAGTCTCTTTTAAAAATGTATACAGAAAAATAGCTTTTAACTTATTTGGTCCCATGGGACATGTTTTCAGGCCTGTCCTTTTGTAATAAGTTGAATTCCACATTTGTTGAGAAAGCTACAAAATAAAAAAACAGCTTTACTTCTAGAAAGATCAGACCTCTTTCTTGTTAAGTTGAACTGTCACTATAAGAAGATTAAATCTTCCTCGAAGTGCAATTTTTTGCTGTTGACCTTATATATGTGTATTTTTGATTTTGTATCTGTTTTCAGAATTATTTTAATTTTACTCACTGTTTGTGAAAAATGGAGAAAATGCAAGCCAAGCCATTCTTGTTCTGAATCAGGTTTTTGGGTTAGTGTGTATGAAAAATTCACATGCTGACTAAAAATAAACAAGTGAACCACCCATATAACACCACTGTAAGTGCCTCCAAAGAAGGGACACATGTCAACTTATTTTGGTTCTTGCGCTATGTTAATAGTGACCCCGTGCATGGTTGAGTGGAGTATTGGGCCCTGGCAGTGTGCCTGAGTGTCAATTGCACAGGTCCATGTGGGGCTCTCACATTGCATGCACAATAAATTACGGTAAACTGCAAACACAAATGTTGCCAAATAAAACTTGTTTCTGCAATTGGACCTATACAGCTTAATATCTAGTTTCCATTTGATCACATCAGTAATCATGTCAAGTGACAGCTTTGCCTTTTTAATAAATTTAGAACACCTTTTGAGTCATCTTCCTTTCATTTAAATGATAAAAAGCCTATTAATGGAAATTATGTATTTAGCTTTTTGCATATTCAATAATTGACATTCTTTTTGCAGGTTGATTTTAGAGAAAGAGGGACCTCGCTCATTATTCAGAGGACTGGGTCCAAACCTTGTTGGTGTGGCACCTTCTAGGTACGTAAAACATGATATTCAATGTTTTGAGTGGCTTCTTCTGTTTGTTGAAGGCAAGGGATTGTCCATAGCAGGGGTCGTATGGTTTCAGGAAAAGTTTGTAAATGAAAAATAAAATAACATAACAGTAGCTGTTATAAGGAGATGATACAAGATAGTAGTTTGAAGGAATTGACAATTTTCCCACAATTTATTTATTTTCTGTGTACTTAATGTCATGTGAAGTTATATAAAAAAGCACATTTTGTCTGTTTTATCTGACATGCTGTGTATTTATGAGATCACAATCTAGGACTATGATCCAGAAATTAAGCAACATTTTTGCAAATAGGCATGGAGCAAAATTTGCTCCATGCCTATTTTTATTCTAGTGAGGCCAAACCCTGGAGTCTTACAATGCTACTGATGTACTGAGGAAAACCTTTAGTAAGATAAACGTGTCCCACGCTTGAATTTTGGTTATATGAAAACTAACGCATAAAAAGTAGGTCAGTATAATCTTTTATTAGGACACGAAACAGATTCAGCTTAAACCCATTTTTATCACCACAAACATGACCTGTAATCACAGTAATACCAAGTTTCTGCGTCATTTGCATAGTATGTCACCTCAAAGCTGGCAGTGCGGTTCAGTTGAAGAATGTCCCTGTCCCTTTTTTTTTTTTTTTTTTTTTTTTTTTTTTAAAGATTTTGTTGGCTCTAGTGGCCTTTAATGACAGTAGCTTAACAGCAAAGGGGGCAGAGACAGAGAGGGGGAGACCTGCGGGAAAGGGCCATGGGCTGGAATCGAACCCAGGACACCCGCTTGCAAGCGGAGGCTCTGCATATGGGCTGCCCGCTCTAGCCATTAGGGTACAGCTGCGGCCCGTGACAACTTTTTTTAATCTTCCTGCTCTCTCAGAGCTTGGCTACACGAAATACGCAGAAATGTTACCAACAGTATGTGTTTCTCAGCTCATCTGGTCAGGCCTGTGTAACAGTTTGAACTCAGTCAATCAAAATCTGAATACAGCAGCTGGAGCTGGCCAGCTGTGGCAGTTTAGTCATGTGATAGTAGTTGTAAGCGTTACAATCCAGCCTCTATATGAAGGCAGTTGTGTTGTCTTAATTCCACTCTGATCTCTAGCCCTCTCTGGCTACCACTGTCTCAGATGATCACTAGTCATCCTTCTCCTCTTGGTTTGTGTGGATGCTTGTCTCGGTGCATGAGCTATCTACTTCCATACTTGTTTTCTCTTTTGGTAGTTTTACCCTGGCTGCGCATGTCCAGATTTCCAAATGTCCTTGAGCTTGATACCGAACTCACATTGTCTCTGCTTTGTTTGTCAGTGTGTGACTGTGTACTTAATGAAGAAATGCACAACATATAATAAATGGGTTTTTGTGCGTATGAAAGTATAATGTACTGTAAAAGCACTTTGACTTGTCAACAAAACCAGAGATGTCATTTACAAACACGATCCATGGTTCTTCTCTCCCACCATTCATTCATTAAGAACTGTTCACTTCTCAGGACTCACAGACCGTTGGTCTGTCCTGACTCACCATCTGAGTTTTACTCAGAGAGGTGAAAACTGCCCTTTTGCTTGTGTGGCTTGCATGTCAGTCCTTATTGGACATCTTTCACAACAGCCAACCAAGAAGGTTGTTGAAAGGTATGCTGAAGATGGACGTTGTAACATAACGGCAAACAGTTGAATCAGTTGATAGTTGAATCTTGTTGTTGTTTATTCCTTGAATTGTTCAAACCTAAGAACTAAGGTTCTGCTATATGATCTGGAGAAATAGGATGGCTGCTCTGTAATTGATTTTCGATTGCATATTGAATAGAGGTAAAGATAAACAGTGATTTTTGTTGTGACGTGAGTGTTACCTGACAAATGAATTGGCACATATGAGAGTACTGTTTTTAAGGCTGTTAAGGTCGACCTTTTAAATATGTAGTCAAGGTTGTATTTCTTTGGGTTACTCATTAACATTTTCCATCAATATCTGCTGGACATAGCAATAATTAACCACATTTTGAAGGCATACAGAACGGTCAGCATGCAGTAGGTGCTTTCTTACTGAAGAAAACGACAGTGTATTAGTCTGGATCTGCAAAAAGAGTTCTGGGTTGCTCAGTTAAAAAGAAAAGAAAAAAGATCCTCTGATGCTAATGAGCAGGATCCACTGTGCATGCTGCCAGCATTTATCAGCAACACATCAGCTTGCCTGAACTACCAGCATCATTCATGACTGTGGAAATACACTCCCACGTTTAGAGTAGGATCATGCTGTCCGTTCTTTTCCTCAATTTAGAGTCACGTTAGGAAGCGGAGGTAATTGGGTTTAAGCCCAGATTCCAAAAGCGTTTTTCTAAATTCTGTGATTTTTATTATGTTAAGGCCCAAGAAGGTCATGGGAGTTAAAACTTTTAAAAAAGACAAAGCTATTTTCAGTGACCTCTTTGTATCTCTTCATTCTCATGTTCAGCAAAGGTAAATTAGAATTTTTGGAGCTGAAGTAATAATTTAGTAATATTGAATTTAAGAAGTGAGTGTTCATTTTACTTGTGATCCCAGTTAGCCGTTTTTTCTCCATGTTAAATCCTCAACGCTGAATGGATCACCGAGTTATACTTTCTTGATCTTAAGTTAATAATATCCTCTGCTTTCCCTTTTCATGCCTTTATTCCGACAGAGCAATTTACTTTGCGGCCTATTCAACAGCAAAGGAGAAGCTGAATGGAGTGCTGGAGCCAGACTCGACCCAGGTGCACATGGTGTCTGCTGGGATGGCAGGTAAAGACAGCTCCCTCTGTCCTCCCTTCTGTTCGTCTGTCACTTAGCTTTTTTATCTGCCTGTTTGACTGTCTGTCAGTCTGGCTGGCCAGTGTTTCTCACTGATGGGTTTTTTTTAACAAAAATAAACACGTTAAATTATTTATTTAGTGTCTTTATCAGACAGCTTTCACTTTTCCCCCACTTTTTTCCACAGTTTTAAATATCCCAGGCACAACCTTTCCTCCACACCTGAAGCATGCTAATGCTAAATAATAATGTTTGTTGTAAGTAGGCATTATCAAGCTGTTTCATGTGTTAAAATATTAGATATAGTGTTCATTTTTTTCAGAAAGCACAATTTAAGACTCTCAGGATCAAACTGAATTCATCAGAGCATAACTGAGCCCCATTTAGTTTATTGTGAGTTAATTTACCATTCTTTGAGTGCCACTAAATAAAAGCAGTCACCCCATTACATGGTACATCTTTTATCTTCTTTTATTCAATGGTCCATTTTTCAGCATTCTCAAGTAGTAATGAAACTAGTTTAAACTCAACACCCAGTTCATATCAGGCTGGAATCAGATCTGATTTATATTGTACATTTATGATATATTTATACAAATAAAACTTTGTGGTCCTCAAAGTTTAGGTTGTGCTTTCGTCTTCCTAGTCCCATTGTCCCTCGTTTCCTTCAAAATCTATTTTCCCCTCCTTGCTCTTCTTTCTGTAAAAAAAAACAAAACAAAACAAAAAAACAACAACTTTATTTTGAAACCTCTCCAGAGGACTCTTTCAATGGTTTAACATCCCAGTTGTGACTTAAACAGTGTGGTCTGGGCCCCCTTCTTTGCTCTGTGTGTGTATAGAGAAGAGAACACGGCCCACAAAGGTCAACCGGGGCCCCTGGCACTCGGGCGGACACGTCAGGTAGCACCCCCTTTTTTTTTTTTTTACACTGGTATGATGAAAATCATGGTGATTTTTAATAAATATTCGAAAGTTCATAATGGTTATTATTCGTCATTTTATCATTGCTTATGGTTCCATGCTTGTAGCTGGAATGTAGCTTTAGACCCTTATGATAAGGTTTTGTTGCTGCTTGGTCTTGACACATACCTCATTCCCCGTATCTTGTTTTATCGACATGGTATGTCATGGTAATGTGACAATACATTCGTGGAATTTGTTTTGTTTGTTTTCAGTAGAAAAGAAATGCTAACCTTGTCACTGCTACAGCAGTTTTTTGGTATTCCGTGTTTTTTCATCCGTCATCATCACTCCCTCAGTGTTTCGGGCATCGTTTGTGTCCAGAAGCTCAAAGACTAGTAATATGTCAATATGAGTTCCCATGGGGAACTTGTCCGAATTGTTTCAAGTTAAGTAGTTCATTGAAAGAAAGAAACAGATTAAAAAAAAAAAAAGAATATATATATATATAACCTCACATGATGGAAGATTAATTTTTAATTAAATGATATACCATCAAATCAATAAATGGAGCATACATAAATCTGCAAGCTTAAACTTCTCTCTGCATTGAGTCATTTGGTCATTAGCATAGGAGCTGCACCCATGCATATATTAGCCCAGTGAACACATAGATTTGGTCCTTTAACAGTAATACTGCAAAAAGGTCAACTTTTTTTTTTGTCCTTGTCCATCTGTTGCTTTTACCACAGTATCCATGCGTCTGCCACTACTAACCAACAACGGGGCAAAAAAATGGCTAGCGTACAGTTTAATATGATCCTGATGTAGGATAATTGTTTCCACTTTTAAAACTAACTTTGTGGCGATCAACCCCCTATGGCCTCCTTGCTTTACATTGTGGCTGCCCTTGCAATCGGAGCAGAGAGGCTGGCCCCACTCACTACTTGATTCATACTTTTTTTTTTCCCGCTGCCTCCGAATGTAGGTCAGACCCCTCTAGAGGACTTGCACAAGCCTTACGTGTCTATCATAATGCTCTTCATGCAGAGGCATGTCTATATGCATATTCTGCTTCCCAATGCAGTTCTGCAGCAATGACCCAGAATCTAGATGGATTGTTAGTTGACCTACATTGTGATTCGTCTGTACTATTAAGAAACAGGCGAAATGTTTTCACTTTTTTTAAATGTACATGTACTGTATGTATATAAACACTGTATATATTCCTACAGTTGTTTTTAATATATGATACAGACATTAGTATGGAAAACACAAGTGTACTCCCAATCTTGAAAAATTAACATATAGCAAACATATTATCCACTCAAAAGGGAGTGTATATTTATTTAAACCTGTGTCAGTATGCTGTTGTTCTTTAAAGTTCACCATAATCACCATATTCTATTTTGACAAATAACTGGCAAATATATTCCAGATTATTGTTTTTTTTGTTCTAAAAGATTATTTTATATCTCTAGCAACTGTCAAATTTAACATTAAGCATGCTGGAGTCAGCACTTTTTTTTCACAGTTTTTTTCTTTTATATTCCTTAGGTAACCTTATTCTGCTATTTTTAAATTTTCCCCAGTGGAGTCCCATTTGGCAGGAGATGGTATTTGGGGCAGACCATGTTGTAAAAATTGCTCCAATTCCATTTGTCCATTTTTAGTTTCATCAATCAGCCCTTTTTTTTTTTCTTCTTCTTTCACCACCATTGTAGAATCCTCCTTCACTAAAGGGCAAGGTTAGCATTTCCCCTTAACTCGCTATATTTTCAAATATTTACTCTTTCTGTCTGCAAAGACAGTGACACAGAGATTATGAAGCATACTTCCTCATTTTCCTACCCTTTCTTGTGTTTCTTACTTGGGTTTGGAGATATAGAGCTGGAGATTTGGTTTGGTTGGCTTTTGTTTATTTACTTCATTCAAGCTTTTTAAGTCAGAGTTAAGATGTAAAAGGGAGTATTCAGTTGAAGATAACTCAATTAAACTTACAAGATTAAGTAGAGGAGGCAGGGATATAGAATTGGGGGTTATAGTTTAAAGAGAAGATGGGAGGAGGGGCCTCAGTCCCTCACCTCCTATCTCTTGTCCGTCTTCTTGATCAGGAAGTGGGATGGGGAGGGTGGTTGTTGGGGTTTGGGTTGGATGTGACTGCTGCTTGTGTGTGACTGTGGTACAGAAAAGCCTGTGTCTATTTTAGGGCTTTACTGTAAAGCTTTCACCCCTGCGTGATTGGGTGGGAGACCCCCGCCATCTGAGCCCCCCATATCTGCAGGCTTCTAGCTGCAGCGGGGAGGAGCTGGAGGAGCTTTGCCCCTCCCTCGTGAGTACACAACATAGACGCTACTTCATTCTACCTCCCTCTTTTTTCTTCCTTTTTTTGCTCTTCTCTTTAACTGACCTGTGTAATCCTTTCTTTTCCACACAGTTGCCTTCACATAGGTATCTGTTGCATTGATACACTACATGTGTCTCATACACCTGGCTGTAGATGTTTCCGGCCATGTCTTTATCTCTCACTCATTTCTTCAATTTATCACAGACTTTAAAGAGACTTCTGTCTTATTTCTTTATGAGACAGAGTGCACGATCATTAGGTTTGATGCACAACACATCTGACTTTATGGTGTTTTGGCCACCAGAAAAATACAAATTATGTGCTGTCGACTGCACCAAACAGACACACACACACAAACACAGATAGCTGTATGCATTGCTAATGGGTTTTTTTAGGGACCTCGTTATTAAAATAGTTTTGAATTAAGTTAATTCTAAATTTGCCTTCGCAAGAAAAGTAACCAGTTAAATTAAATTCAATTTTATTTATATAGCGCCAAATCACAACAACAGTTATCTCACAGCGCTTTCCAAACAGAGCAGGTCAGACCCTACTCTGAGTTATTTACAGAAGCCCAACAATTCCCACCAAGCGACACAATTCATTCCATTCTTAAGAGAAGCCTTCACTACTTACTTATAAGACTTTGAATAATTGAGGTTCTCCTCCAGATACCATTTTTCTCTCAGTGCTTTAGTGGTTGTGCCAGATCTTGTCTGCAGTGTGCGAAACACTGGTTCATTAGCTGGCATACAATCAAAATTCAAACTAGTGTACCAGCTTGCAGTTTTCCTTTTCTAATCCATCACATCTTGTTCAGAATAATTTTTAAACCAAGATTCAGACCAATGTTCTGGTCTGAGTTTGTGTTGTATCAGATTTGCTTTAAATTTTAGTTTTGTTTGTTTCACAATTTGTCCCTTTTAGATAATTGGTTCTTACAGGATTTTACGAGTACAACCTTGACTTCTTTTCAAAGTGCACAATGTCACCTGTTTCTAAGTAGAAGAACATGAGCAAAGGTTTTATAACTTTAAACTTATGCCCAACAAAATATTTTTCATTCCAGTTAAGAGCATGCTTTTTGTCTTTCATTAATGTAGTAATGGATCCACATGTTCGCATTTCTTCATACGTCTGTATTTGAATGAAAAGAATTACTCAAATAAAAAAAACAAGCCGGTGTTTGTTAACTGTGAAGTGCTTTTTTTCTATCCTTGCTCAGTTTGGAGTATTTAGAATAGCTGTATTATTGCAAACGTCCTGGGGGTTTGTCTGACTCTTCTTGTCCTCTGACCTCCCCAGGATTCACCGCCATCACAGCCACCAATCCCATTTGGCTGATTAAGACCCGCCTGCAGCTGGACTCCAGGTGAGGACTACCAACTTTCAGTGGAGCCTGGAAGGTGGCTGTTTGGCTTTTTTCCAAATGACTAAATGACCATTGTGGAGCTAAATGAATGGTGCCCCTTTCATCACAGAAACCGAGGGGAGCGGCGAATGAACGCATTTGAGTGCGTGCGGCGGGTGTATCAGATGGATGGCCTACGAGGTTTCTACAGAGGAATGTCTGCCTCTTATGCCGGGATCTCTGAGACTGTTATCCACTTTGTGATCTACGAGAGTATAAAACGCAAACTGCAGGAGTCCAAATCTCACGCCAGCATGGACGAGGAGGACGAGTCGGTCAAAGATGCCTCGGACTTTGTGGGCATGATGCTGGCAGCAGCAACCTCAAAAACCTGTGCCACCTCCCTCGCCTATCCTCATGGTGAGCTCCTGTCTCCAGCCTAATTATTTAGGTCATTATAACCATTATAGTAATAACTGTCTGTCAAATGGAGTCCTATTTCTGCAACCCAAAGAACTGAACTCAATAAACAACATTTTGTAAGTGTTCATAACTTGCTTGGTACAATCCATTAAACTTAATAAGAAATTTAAAATAAAGCATCTGTTAAGTTTTAAGGATGATAATTTTTCTTTTGGTGTTGTGCCAATCTTAACCCGAACAAAAGAGCAATTATCCAACACCAAATATACACTGAACTGCTAAATTTAAGCCTCCATTTCTTCTTTCCTTTCACATTGCAGAAGTGATTCGCACACGACTACGAGAGGAGGGCAGCAAGTACCGCTCCTTCTTTCAGACTCTGCTGACTGTTCCCAAAGAGGAGGGATACCGAGCCCTGTACCGTGGCCTGACCACGCACCTTGTCAGACAGATTCCTAACACTGCTATTATGATGTGCACCTATGAGGTGGTGGTCTACCTGCTTGGTCGTTAGCCAAAAACAAAAGTCTCCCGTCTGCCTGAAGAGGGACACAGCCAGTAAAGAACTGTGAAGAATGCATTTTGGCTTGAAGTGGGGGGTGTGAAATGTCCAAAAGAAGACCAAAGGATACCAGAAGATACTCTAGTGGACCAGGAAAAAAAAAAGAGGAAGAAAACGAGAGGCAGAGAACTAATTTGGTACCATATCGGCATCATCTCCTTTAGTTGTACAATTGGAGCAGGTAGTGGGTGTCACAGCTCATAGAAGAGGCGGTGTGGCTCAGAGCAGAGAGGGGACTCTGACAGGGGACAAGCATTATGGCCCCTGTTTAACCTCTAAGACAAGGTTATTATTTAAATTCAGTGGCCTTACGGAGGGGGGTTATTTCACAGACATTTTTGATTGAAGATTTTGATGGCAAAAAAAGAGTGTATAGAGTAGATATTGAGGAGTGAGGGGTGCTCGGAGGCAACCGAACTTAACATGACAGATGGAAGATTAATGCATGCCATTTTTTAATAAACTCTTTGACATCATTGGTTCAGACTCGCGACTACCCATTGATGTGAGGCTACAGTATTATTCAGGGGATGTTCGGTTAAGGTGGAGATTACATTGGAGACAAGGATTTATGCTTTGATGTCCATGTTAACACAGCGGAAGCTGCTCCTTCCGGCATTCTCCTCTGACCCCTCATGACTAGCAGTGTGTTCACTGGTGGAATAGAATGAAACCCAATGATGAGCTTGTGTTACCTTTCTGACAGTCATGCCTCAAACACTTAGCAGTGAAGAAAAGGGCCTGACCTCCAGTCAGTGCTTTATTCCTCTCTAACTCAGTGGCCAGGCTCAGCTGAAGCTTGCATGGGCGATTTCCAAGGCCAGCGTCTGCTCAGCCTGCAGCCACCAATGAAGACTTCCAAATTTGTGATACCGGTGTGTCCTCTATAGATCTTATGGGTGCACTAAGTTTTATCTGTATCCAAAAGGTACAGAATATCGTCTGACAAAGTTTTGCTACTTGAATACAATGTGAAAGTTTGGGAGAAATGTTGGATGGGGAGGATGCTGGTGGATTTTTCTTGTCTAAAGGCTGTTTTGTTTTTTTTGCGTGTCTGAGTGGTTTAACAAGCTGGATGACTTGGCTGTGTCCAAGAGAGTGTGTGGGTGTGTGGGTGTGTGTCTGTGTTCTTTGTGCGTCTGAAGTCATCTGTGCTTGCATGTATATTAAACATGTACTCCAGATTTCCAACCACTAACGAATAATTTTGAAAAATACTGCAGTTTGAACTGAAGAGAGGCTCCAGTGTGATACTGGGAGTTCAGATTCCCACTCTGTCAGTTCCTCCTTCCTGTGGCTTCCAACTTACCCGATAACATGCACTTTTGTGGCCTTTTAGGGCTTGTGATTTGCTTTTTCTAACGTGTGGACAGATAGAACTTGTAACTTTGTAAAAGATAAAAAAAGTATTTCAAAATGGTATTTTGCGCAACTGTTCTCAAAACAGATAACTGTACAGATCAGAGTTGTTATTTGTTTTGAAGAATGTCCACATGTCTGTAAATGATAGTGTTTGCATAACAATTTTTGTTTTCTCCTAAACCCCCCTGCTGATTATGCTGTAGTTTGTATTCATTCTTGTGAAATCAAACCTGGTTTTAATTTTTTTACCTGAATATTGACATTTCTCCACTAAATGTTTTTCTTTTCTTTTCCTGCTTTTGGTTTTATGCTGCAGAAGGCAGCCATGCTGCCACGTGTGCTCACACTGCAAATGCTGTCAATCAAACGCATCAATCATTGGAGCCCAGATAATTGTTTAGTCGTTTAGTTAGGTTCATGAAAAGTGTTCCGGTTTGCATTTTGATGCATCTGTCATTTGAGATGTGGGATTGTTGGAGGCATCAGTCAGTTTCCTCTTGGGGCTTTTCTTTGCACCTTGTTTTGAATATTACAGGAAAGGGGCTATGTGTGAGGGTTCAAAAAGTGAAGTCATGTGTCAAGACACTACAGAGTACCACAGTTGCTTTGGATGGTTAAAAAAATAATCCTCTAATCTTAAATTTATAACATGAATATTAAACTAGTTTAATGTTTTATCCTTTAAAAAAGTCTGGGGCAGAGATCAAATTGAATATACAGTTAGTTCAGTTACAGCTTATCAACTTATTCATACATGTTGCCATTTTTGAACACTTACATCCCTGTGTTGCTGTATCATATTGAGGCAAACCGAGGAGTCGAAACCTTTTAACATATTAGTTTCAGTTTGGTGTGTTACAACTCCATCCATTTGCCGTTTTGAAAAAAGAAAAGTAAACATGACTGAAGTTCCTGACTGATTTAGACAGCCATGTTTGGCAGTATAACACTAAAAGCCTCTATGTGTGTGTTCAAACGCTCTGTTGTACTTGAGGTCAAAATATTTAAATGTGACAGGAACAGATAACTGGAAAAATGGTGAAAACATTTGACTTTAGGATTTACTGCTCACCACAGTGTCTGTATGTAAGTCAGTATTTTCGCTTGGATAGGATAGGTTGAATGATTGTTTTTGCTGGCTTAGTCATCTGTGTTAATGTCTGTTTTTTAAGCACAAAAATAAATAAACTTTATTTGCAACTAAAACTATACAATGATTTGAATCTGTTTATTTATTCTTTTTTTTTGTCACTGGTTAAAATTCTAGCTGCTCATCGATCCTCAGTTACTTGTCATATTTTGCATTTAGAAATGTTCCACGTGTCTAGTTGGTGAAAGGCCTGGGCTGCAGGCAGGCCAAAAAGGGCTTCAGAAAGGAATTTATCCATTGGCTTACCTACCCACAATTGTTTTTCATTTTGGCCACTTTAAATGAGCTTTGGCCAAGATATGAGTGCAGCATTTGTTGATCATGCTCACTTAAAGCTTATCTGCATTGAAGAGCTTTACGCTGCATCTGTGGAGACATATTCTGTCACACAGCGTTACAGAGGTGTTCATTACCCAAAGTTCATTACACCTCTCTTAATGCAGATCCACCTGAAGACCTGAAAATTGCGCGCATTCGATGTTGGTTGTGTGTTTTTGCAGGTTGTTGAAACCATCTTTACCTCAACGAGACTCTGCCTTCCAAAAGTGTTCTTTACAATTACATTAATGAATAATTAAAGTATTATTTCCAACATGCACCTCCAGCTCTTTCCACAAAGTCAACTTATTTTTCCAGGGTTTTTGTTGCATGTCTTTTATTCAGACATGCTTCTGCCAAAATTATAACATGGGGTAAAACTTATTGAAATGGTAAAACAAGTCACTTTCAAACGCTCAAAATCTATATGGTATATAACAGATTTGCACATCATTGCATTCCACGTTTGACAATATTTAATGATATACAATGCTTTTTTTCATATGGAGTTGTGAAAGATTGAAAAGCGCTTTGAGAATAAACATTTGAGTGTAATATGTTTTTTCAAAAGCATTTTGGCCCTTATGAGGAAATAAAAAAAGTATGAACACTTTATTATCAGATGTAATTAATTGTAAAGTAGCTGCCTTGCAGTATCAGTAAATCAAATGATTTGTACAGACTCAGATATATTCCCATTTCAAAATAATATTCCAGTTGAATATGCCTACGGAATGTAATCTCTGTTGCTTTAGAGAGGTGCTCAGCCTGTGTAAATAGGAATAATAACAGTAATACAGTTGTAGTAGCAGTAAAGGCAACGTGTGAAGTATGCACTGTATGTGTCAAAGAAATGAATGTTTTATAAACGGCAAAATATACAGCGTTGGACAATATGTAAAGAGGATATTTTTAAAATAACTAGCGAACTGTAATTAACAAATATCATCGCCAGGAGGAGCCAATGTTCTTCTGATGAAGATATCCGTCCACGTTTGCAGTCACTGTACAAATAGGTTATCTTCCTTCGAGATTTCTATTTTCTATTATTGTTTTACCTTTGTTCCTTTCAGTTTAATTGGTTGACTACTAAAAGACCTATGTATAATCAATTATTTTTTGTTGTTATTACTCTTTTCACCGGTTAATCTGCAGCTCAACAAAACAATACAAAAAAAGTTCCCTCTAAACTTCCCTCAAATAAAATCTCAAGGAGCGAAGAAAAGATTAATTGTAAAATTTCTCTCCCAAATTCTTCTCTCATATCCCCTCATATATGTTTGGCATCTCTGCTTATACAGTGATACCTACTAACTCAACTTCTAGCTGTTCCATCAACTGAATCTTCGGCACATAAAATACTTTAACCTTAAACACCTTACCTATTATTTTTTTTACTTCCAGTTTCACTTTGGTAGAATCTCTGAGCACGTCTCCACCTCAAGCTCTAATTCATGTGTAAAAACACCCCACTACACAGATGATTTATAAATGTGTGTGGGTGGGTATTTGAGAAACCCATCTCATATTCTTGGCACATATGGGGGTTGGAAGCAACATTACAAAAATGCCCACAATATTTATTTTTTGTAATTATTCATCCGATAGTTCAGTGAATAGCACAGTGCATACGGCAAGTAATAATTTAGCCCTCATTTGTTTAAGTCACATAAAATAGTCTGAATTGGAGACACTAGAGTCGACCAATTCACTGACTTTTAAATAGCCCAATTATCCTTTAGTTAACCGGTGCTGGTAAATTTGGTAATAAAGATTCAGCTGAAACATCCATCCAAAAGCCATTTAGGAACACATACTCGGAGGATGATGCCTTCAGGTACTGTGGGAATTGTTGCAATATTGTGGCGTTATGGATTCCAGAACTCCAACCTAATTGAGAAAATGTGTCCTTTTAACAGCATTGCAAGTTAAATAGATCAGCACTGCAGCAGAACACATTTTGTGTTTTGCATAGTAAAACGCCAAGATCTGAGGTGACTTGCTATCAGCTCATATTGTGGTTCATCTTAAAACAGCAGTAGTTATAAACCTGGTGAAAATTGATCCGGAAGAGACTGAGGTCTCAGTAAAAGCTGCAGATAAGAGTTTCACTTAACACACAAAGTGGAAAATTTAAGTAAAGCTGACACCTCAGGATATACTCATATGTTGTAAGTGATACATAAGGCTGTGTCAGCTCTTGTGAGAGTAGAACAGTTAGTTTGAACTTTTTAAAATGTATTTGTTGATTCATGACATTAATGGAAAAGAGAGAAAAAAATTTTTTTTAAAGAAACCTTGACGCAATATGAGCACAATATAAATAAATCTTAAGACCACATTACAACTAAAAGCAGAAAAAAAGCATGGGAAAATCTGAAAGATTTTCATCATATAAAGTCTTAAAATCCAAGAATAGTTACTTAAAATGCATGCATCTAAGAAGCTCTGCCTTCTAGTTGATTAATAGCTATTAGGGACATCAACTTTTTTTTATTCTTTGTAATAGATTAAAGTTACACTGTATTCACAGATTGGAGAGTATCAATAGAATATTGTTTCATCCTGTGTATAAAAGCTCTATTCCTGTAGAAGAACAACAAAATTGGCTTTTTTATATTTAGTTTACATAAAAATATAAAAAGCGAATATAGAAAAATAAGTAATCATATGGAACTTTGCAAATTTATTTTAAAAATACATTGACATGTTCTTTACATACTCCTGTCCGGGAAGGCGGAACCTTTGAATAGTATGTGAAAGCACCACTTGGGTCTCGACCAATAGTATCCGAGCAGAAAGCTGGGATTTGGTGTAAGCAGCCAATCAGCGGTCGCTCTGCAGTGTAAACGGACACTGTGCATCGGTTCCCTGGTTGCCTAGAATAGATGTTTCGTGCTGCGGGTTACAGCAACAAAGAAACCGTACCTATATCGCGTAAACACGTGTAACAGCGCTGGAATAACATCTTTTTTTATCAACGGTGCGAAAGAGCATACCCCTTGGTTGTTCTTACCTTGAAGATAAATCCTCTGAGAAAAGTGTTGTTTGGAAACGACTTGAGTTTGTGCTCGGTAAGTGCTTCTATGTTTACACCGGATGAACAACCGTCCTTTGGAGCACTGTCTTGTGTTGCAGAAACTTGTGTTTCCCTTTAAAAAGTGTCCTTAATTCACGTCGGATCATTGTATGAGTATATGTTTCAGAGACTAAATAGACTTACGTTTCTCCAGAGGATTTCCTCCAGTGTGGCGGCTCCAGTCACAAAGTAGTCCAAAGTTGTCTCCATGTACGTCGGAAATACTCTGCAACCCACATAGGTCTGATGCTGGTGATGTCACCGCTTCTGTGACCAAGGTGTAAGTGCACAGTTTGTGTCCCTGTGTGGAAGGAAAAAAAAACTATGCTTGTTTTCCTTTTGGTTAAACATTTCTCTTCTTTTCTTTGCGGCACTTCATGAATGATCTCTTCTTTGAAGGCCACACCGTGACATTTACTTGGTAAAGATGGGTTGGGTGACAAGGACATGGAAGATGGAGAGCAGATGGTGAGAGCTGGGAGGGGAGGAGAGAAAAGAAGAGTAGATGGAGGTGGGAGTATGACAAGAAGAGGCGAGAAGGGTAGGAGCAAGGAGAGAGGAGAAGGATCTTGAAAGTTGACAGGATGAGAGTGTTATGAAAAAAGACACGTGTCTCAACATTTCGTGCCCTAACGTGATGGGAAGAGAAGAGGGCTGAAAAATCAGGCAAGTCTGCTTACTGATGGATGACATATCGAAAAAAGGAGGGGTGCCAAGGTGTAGAGGGGGAGATGGGATGGATGAGGGGGTATTTTATCGGTGATGGGGGTACTTTATCTGTCGGCTGGTTCTGCCTCTACAGACGACCAAGTTGTTGACCAGGACCTCCATTAATTTCTTTCGTCCCCACGTCCTGTTGCATTTTTCTCTACATCTGTCCTAACTTGGTACTCTACCCTCTCTTACTTCTCATCCCTAAAATGTACATGCTATTTGTGTTTAGGACACACTCATAAATGCCATATTCTTTTTTTTTTCTGGTATGAACTATACACTGCGTTTGTCATCTTCCGATTTTTGTTAGTACGTTTTTGGCTTAATGGAAGCAACGTTTCCCCTGTTGTTCATGGAATCAGCCCGATGAGCTGCTGATGAGTTGGTTGAGAGTTGATTTAAAATCTCAAATGCAATGAGCTGATTTCTTTTGGCTCCTTGGAACTTTAAACTTTAAAACCATGTTAAGAAATTGTAAAAGCTATGTGTATACCTGCTGTTTTCTAACAGTTTTCCTCCGAAGTACCAAGGAGGACGATTTGACAACTGATTAAAAAAATAATTGACAGATGTAGACTGTTTCTGTGTTATTTCATCATTTAAGAAACTAAAAGACCTTCAGTTGTTTCCAGATTCGGCCTTTGTTTAAGAAATGTATTTTGGTGAACCCAAAGGAAAATTAAAGGATGCAAGTAAACAAGCGGTCTTAGACAGAAAAAAAAAAAAACATCTTATCTGGGATACATACAGCAAAAGTTATTTAGGAGTTTATTTCGTGAGATATTTGTGTGGTTTGGGGTTTTATATCCTTGAATTAAAGCCAAGATCCTACACTTGCTGTTTTTAACAGCAATATGCTGTCTTTCTGTGTTTATCTCCAGCTGTCTGCTGCATTTTAGAAATGTCCTCCGTTATCCATCCAGAGGGACTAATAAGCTTTGTTGT